ACAGGGGAAAATTGTTCGTGCTCTTCGTAGATTTTAAAGGTGCTTTCCCCTCAGTTTGTCATGACTTACTGTGGGAAAAGTTATATAGACTTGGTGCGGGTGATAAGATTGTTAGGATTTTGAAAAGTCTCTACAGTAGAGCCACGGTTGCAGTTAAGGGGACGAGTGGAATGTCAAAGCCGACCTTGGTGACGAAAGGGGTTTTACAGGGAGAGACAATGAGCCCATTGTTATTTAGCCTTTTTATTTCGGATTTTGAGGAATTTTTAAGAGCTGAAGGTGTTAGGGGGGTCTCGGTAGACCGACTGATAGAGATAATTGTTTTGGCATTCGCGGATGATATCGCAATCTTAGCGGATTCGGTATCATCTATGCGAAAAATACTTAAGGCTCTTTATAAATATTATGAAAAAAATTATTTGAGCGTTAATATGGACAAAACAAAAATAGTTATTTTTAAAAAGGGGGGACACTCCCATGACAAAAAAAATCAGTCCTTTCAAGTATGGCGACGAAGGAAATATCGAGGTTGTCTCTAATTATGTTTATTTAGGTATTATGTTTTCTAATTCATCTGTCTTTTTAAATGCTACAAATACAATGGTATCCAAAGCTAATATCACACAATTTAATATGATCTCCTTAGTCAACAGAATGAAGATAAATTCTTGGCCTACTATTGAAAAATTACTTGATAGTTTATCGTTGAGTGTATTAATGTACAATGCCCAAACTTGGAGTTTAAGATACGAAGACGAGATCGAGAAAGTTCAAATCCAATTTTATAAGAAACTTTTACAACTCCCCCCTTGCACACCTGGTTATGCTGTGAGACTAGAAACTGGAAGGTGTAAACTTATCGCTTCTAGTTTTAAACTAGCTCTTAATTTTGTTGAGAAAATTCTTGCTATGGACAACGACCGTTATCCGAGAATATGTTTTATAGAATTGAAAAGGTTGTCAGAAAATAAAGAAGTTAATTTAAAATTTAATTGGTGTGCACAAATAGAAAAAATATTTAAATCAATAAATAGAGTCGATGATTGGAAGAATATTACACTGGCATCCGTAAGAACAAATAAATTGTGTTGGTTGACTGAGTATAAAAATATTCTGTATATGAATGATATGTCACGTCTGTGTGAATCAAGTTCACTACTACTTTTGCCGCATTTGACGGTTAGCGTAGGTAGACAGGACTATTTTAAACTATGTCTAGCATTAAAATATTTTCGTGTAGCTGCTCAATTAAGATTGTTAAATGTTTTTCAGACGAAAATTATGATAAATAATACTATTTACAATTGGAAATGTGATGAGGTGTGTGGTGGGTGTGGTCTTCTTGTGAATGATTTTAGTTACCATGTTTTAATTGAATGTATATTTCATAATGAAGAAAGAAAAAAACTTATAACGGACGCCGTAGATGAAACCGCCAAATTGTCGGCAATTTTTGATATCCTAAATAATCCTGGGTTGGATTCAATTAAAAGAATCACTGAATTTATTGAATGTATTGTGATTAAACGAGAGAAAAATTTGTAAAATTAAAATCTAGTCGCAACTTCTTTGTATAGACAAATGTCTTGAAACAAATAATAAAAAAAAATAATTATTATCTCATTAAGAATAGGCTTAAATTTTAATTTGTTTATAATATTTTATAATTTAAATGAATTGCATGATAATTTAAAACTAGAATTGGAATTTTAAAAAGTAAGATTTTTTAAAGAAGTTGTCCAATTTTTATCGAATTCTATCAATTAGTTTTCAAGTAATTCATTTTTTTCGAAAAAGGTGTTAAAAATTAAATTGTTAATAACTTTTTAAAAAACTATTTGCAGGTGTTGTTTTTATTATTATAAAATATTCTTCTAAAATATTGAGTTTAAATAAAATTAAATTACCCTTCGAAAACCATTGGTACACTTCAGAAAGCTTTACCTAATAGAGGCGCATGAAAAGTCTCCAATTTTTATTTTCCGAATCTTTATTTTATCGAAATTCTTTTTATCTAATAAGAATTAATTATAATTTCTTTTAATCGAAAGAATAATTATCAAAAACATTATCTTTTTGAATGGCTAATTAACAGAATGTTTAATACTGCGAAAGAAAATTTTTTATAATCTTCAAATAACTGAATTATCATTTCTAAAAATTATTATTTTTTATATTTCTTATTTACACTAATATTTTTATTTTCGAAATGTCAATTTTGATAAATATTATTTTTTAAATTTGTTAATAACTATAATAATTATATTCCCGAATTATTATTCAATATAATTCAAATATTACCGAATTACCAATTCTTAAAAAATTTATTGTTCCTAATAATATTTTTTTAAAATGTGTAAATGTTCTAAATTCTAAAGTCTCTAAATTTTGTTTTATCGAAATATCTTTTGTTATAAAACTTTTTTCTTATAAATGTTTTTGAAAATAATTTTAATTTTTACGAATTAACATTACTCATAATTTTCTTTACTCCTAATCATTCTTCTTTATAATTACTATATTTTCTAACATGTATTTCTTCTAACTATAACTTTACCGAATTGTCACTTCTCATAATTATTATTATATCGAAATAATATTTTTCAAAATTTTTGTAATATCTAATAATTTTTTATACAAATTTTTTTATTTTATAATAACCAGTTTTTATAATTTTATTTTATTCGAATAATTATTTCGTATAATTTCTTTCTTACCGAAATTATATTTTAAATAATTTTTTATTAATCAATTTTTTATTTTTCCTAATATTCATTTTTCCAAATAATTCTTTTTCATAATTTTTATATTTCCTAAATCGTATTTTACATAACATCCATTTTTTCTAGCATTTAAATTCTCTAATTTATTCTTTTCCTAACCTATAAATGTCATAATAAGAATTGCACAGAATAGTTATTTCAGGTTGAGTCCACAATAGACAGCGTTAAGGAGATTGAGCTACTTAAGACCATCGATAATCTACTTAAGACCATTGATATCAATGGTGTTAAGTAGCTCAATCTCCTTAACGCTGTCTATTGTGGACTCAACCTCATCACATTCACATACAAAATATACGGTTTCGACGTTTCCCATCTCTGAAGAATATGGCGCCAAATTTGAAAAAAGTTTATTATTTTATTATTTAAAAATTATTAATTATTATAAATATTGTTTAAAACAATTTTCCTAATGATATTTAATTGTTTTAAACAATATTTGTAATAATTAATAATTTTTAAATAATAAAATAATAAACTTTTTTCAAATTTGGCGCCATATTCTTCAGAGATGGGAAACGTCGAAACCGTATATTTTGTATGTATGTGATTAGGAGTAAAGAAAATTATGAGTAATGTTAATTCGTAAAAATTAAAATTATTTTCAAAAACATTTATAAGAAAAAAGTTTTATAACAAAAGATATTTCGATAAAACAAAATTTAGAGACTTTAGAATTTAGAACATTTACACATTTTAAAAAAATATTATTAGGAACAATAAATTTTTTAAGAATTGGTAATTCGGTATTATTTGAATTATATTGAATAATAATTCGGGAATATAATTATTATAGTTTTTAACAAATTTAAAAAATAATATTTATCAAAATTGACATTTAGAAAATAAAAATATTAGTGTAAATAAGAAATATAAAAAATTATAATTTTTAGAAATGATAATTCAGTTATTTGAAGATTATAAAAAATTTTCTTTCGCAGTAGGTATTAAACATTCTGTTAATTAGTCATTCAAAAAGATAATGTTTTTGATAATTATTCTTTCGATTAAAAGAAATTATAATTAATTCTTATTAGATAAAAAGAATTTCGATAAAATAAAGATTCGGAAAATAAAAATTGGAGACTTTTCATGCGCCTCACCTAATAATGAAAATAAGTTTATAAATAAATCAAAAAATCACAATCGAAAATTTTGCTAATACAATGCTTTCTCTATGAGGAAGTAAAAGTATAAATTTCCTTCCGAATTTATATTGGTTTATATTAAAATTCGATCCTTGGAAGGTATAATAAATAACAAAGAATATTTTTTATGACATTCTTTAATATTTATTGTCAAAAGTAAAAAGCGACGTTTTGATGACTTGGTTCAGTCATTGAAACGTCGCTTTTTTACTTTTGACAATAAATTTCAAAGAATGCCATAAAAAATATTCTTCATGTTATTTATTATACCTTCCAAGGATCGAATTTTAATATAAACCAATTTATTAATTAGATTAAAAATAAGCGACAGTTAAGGCTCATACAACTCGTTTTATTAATTTTATTAGAAAATAAAATAATGTTATTTTTAACTATGCAAATGCTTTGGTTTGGATGAATATTTTGCACTGACTACTAGGTATATACCTATACTGGCGCACAGTATCAAATTAAGAAGTAACAAAAAATGTGTGAAAATAAATAAAACTAGTTTTCTATTTTTCAAAAGCTACGAATAAAATCATTTGTTTTAAAATTCCAGAAAATAAAGGAGATTCCATGACTTTTCCCTGACTGTTAGACTCCCTGAATTAAGGTTTTAAAGTAAGAAAAAATCAAGAATAATTCAATGTTTTTAAGTATTTTTTGTTTTTTAGTAATCTAGAAATGTATTCCCTGATTTTCACCAAGTTGAAGTCCACAACGTTGATCAACGAAAAAAAATTGTTCACTAAGTGAATTAATTAAAAATTACGCCGCAATATTGACAAAAAAATATTTAGAAAAAAAGATTGATATTTATGTTTTGATAATAATTATTTTACAATTAAATATTAAATTAAAAATAATACTTGATTGCATTAAAAAAATTTTTTTCGTTGATCAACGTTGTGGACTTCAACTTCGTTGATTTTCCTGATCTGTGTTAACCCTAAAAGTATATTTTCTAAAGAAACATAAATTGAAGAAAGTTTCAAAACAATATTCGTTCATTTGAAAGTTCTACATCTACAGCCATGATGAAGAAAAAAGTGAGAGTACAATTTACCTGATTAAGTTTATCAAGTGCAGTTTCCTCGCCCCTTTGCTCGGGTAATTTCGAGTGTAGATGATGTAATGATTGAACATGTGCAGCTAATTGTACAATCCTCGCGACAAACGACTGTAATTCTCCTTGACTCTTCTCAACGGCATACTGTGATTCCCGTAAATTTTGTGTGAGCAACGACTTTTCCGATTCGGCGAGTTCCAATTGTTTCTCCAATTTCTTCAATTCATTCAAATGAATTTCCGAGAACAGATCAACTTGCTTGCCCGCCGCCGATGTACCTGGTTCTTGTGTTTTGAGATCGTCTTCAATTCTCCGCAATGCCGGCGAATCGTTCTCACCATCACTGCAAATATTCTGATCGTCAGTAATGCCACGAATTGATAGAGCAAGATTGCTAAGATTGTAAATTGATTCGCTATTAATACGTTGATCGAGCTCCTTTTTTAATGCATATTTTGCCTCACGCTCTGCTTGAAGTGACTCGAGTGCTTCCTCCATTTGCTTCTCGGCAATTTTCTTTAAATTCGATAATTCTTCAACTTGACTATTAAGAAGTTCAACCTCCTCAGTTAACCTGCGAATCTCATGTTTCACACCTTCAAATTCAACTTGACTTGAACGTAATCCTGACACTTGTTTTTGTAGGGATATATTTTCATCTTCCAATTCAGTGTAGTCTTGTAGAAGACGAGTCTCGCGAAATCGACATTCCCTAAGTTCGGTCCGTAAGGTTTTTCGTTCGGCCTCTGTTTGCAAATGGTCCTTGCCAACTTCCTCACGTTCCTGAAGTGCGTGATCTCGTTCGGCTTGCACGCGCTCCAATTCATGTCGCAACTGTTGAACAAAATTTACTAGTTTTTTTAAAGAGAAACAAATATCTTTCGACAACTTAAAAATTTCTTTATTTGCAAAAGAAATTACTGTCCTCGTTCTGTGTACTTTTAGTCAAATTTATATAAGAGGTTAAACTTATTGCAAGCCTTGAATCGATTTTAAGGGCATTTGAACTATTATACAAAAAAATTGTCGAAAGTGGCGTTTATTTCATTCAGTGTTTTCACTAAAATTCATTTATTTTTTTATTTTCATTTTTTAAATTCAATTATTCAAAACTTGAATAATTTTTTTAAATAAATGTTTAAATGAAATGCCTACTTATTATTTACTTTTCCACTGGCATTAAAATTTTATAAAATTATCATTTCATATATAAAAATTTAACTGTAGTTATTTATTTTTTCACATGAATTACAATTTTAAAAATTTCAATTCCAAAAATTAATACGTTGATCGAGTTCCTTTTAAATTATATTTTTTATATACAATATGGGAGCGTTCATAAATGATGTCACGTTTTTGGGGATAGGGGGAGGGAGATCTGTACTAAACGTGACACAATGTATTTTTCACTCGTGAAATTGCGTGACAGGGGGGGGGGGTTGAAAATCTCAAAAAATTAAATTTTTGATTAAACTTCTATTCTAAATCAATTATTTTAAATAATTTTGCAACAGTTCTTACAAAATTGAATTATTTAAATACGAAAATTTAATTTTTATAAGAATTGTAACTTTAGCACGGTCTTCCAACTTCATGTTTTTTCTGGTATTAAATTGCATTATAATATGTAACCAAAAATATTTAAAACAATTTTTAAATTATGATAAAGAAATTCTTAAAATTAGTTTTTTTAAATACCTGTATTTTAAAATAATGTTTGAAAGACAATATTGTTCAAATATATAATTTGAAAATTCTCAAATAATTGAAATTTAGTAATTAGGATTTTAGAATTATTAAAAATAATCACGTTTTTTGTATGTAGATATTTGTAAAATATTGTATTTGTAGAAATATATAATTGAAAATATTAAAAATAACTGAAATTTAAAAATAAAATTATAGTTAAAAATTTCAAATTAATTTTTGGAAAAATCTTTTTACATAATTTAATTTGCCTAAAAAATTATTCAAAAGTAATTTTTAAAAGATTTTTGACTAGAATTATTTTGCACACTTTAAAAATCGAAATAAGTTGTATTTTATACCAAAAGAGTGGAATTTTGTCCGAGACCTGAATAAATAAAAGTTTAATAATTTCAAGAAATATTTAAATCATTTAATATTTTTTGTTTTTTTTTGTTACCTGTTTGGCTTCATTTTCTAATTCTATAATTTCTGTTTGGAGAGATGTTTCACGTGCTGCGCTTTCGTGAAGAAGACTTTCTTCTTGTTCTATTCCACTTTTTGTCGTTAACTTTGTCGTGGTCTGGAATTTAGCTAAAGCCTGTAAAAATAAAAATAGCAAATGAAAATACAATTTAGATATTGTAGAAAAGTTTTACAAAAATATGTTTGATGAAGGAAAAAAAAGAAGTAGAATTTAATTTCAACATTATTGTTTCATTAGACGGAGAGAATCTACAATTAATTTTCAAGCGCTCCAGTAATTACGAACAAACAGTTAACTTAATTATTTACTAAACTAGTTAATTAATATCAAACTGCTTTTTAAGAAACGTAAGTTAAATCTTAACTTGAATTATTGCTCTTTTTAATAGAATAACTAAAATAAAAATAACTTTTTTATTCAGAATTCATAAAAAATTTCTCTGTCGGAACATTAATGAGGCCAATAAGCCAACGTGTCAAAAGAATTTCCAAACTAAAAGAAGATTACTTCCAAGAAAGCTAATGCAACTTTCATTGTACTTAAATGAAGAATAAAATAAAGTAAGTAAATATTTCCACACAGGTAATTTGAATATTAACAGGGTTGCCACAAAATAATAAATGTAAAATTCCAGGCTTTTTCCAAACCAATACTTGTGAAATTCCAGTCGAAAATAAAAAAAATTTCTGGCCTGATTACTTAGTTTTGGCTCTTAAAATTCTGTTTCAATTTCTAAATACCAAAAACTTAAATTAATAATAATTACTAGCCAAAGATTTGTCTTCCCTAGAAATTTTTATCTGGTGATGAGATAAAAACATCTTTTAATTTTAAATCCAAATTTTCTTAAAAATCTTGAAAAACAGGCAAAATTTGAGAAATTTTTTTTAATTAGTTGCTATTTCCAGGCTCTGTGACAACCGTGACAACCCTGATTATCCACTTATTGGTTTTAGAAATCATTTTACAATGATCAAAAACAACTTTTTTTGACAAGACAAATAAAATTTACTTTTTGAATAAAACTACCAGAAATTTCTTTATTCAAAAAACAATATTCCAGAAAATTGCAATTAAAAGAAAACCAAAACAAATATAGAGGATTTTAAATTAAAAAAATAAGTAATTCATGTTTGAATGAATTATTAATTTTGGAAAAATTGAAGTAAAGGTAAACAAAAGAATAAGAGATAATGACAAAAATAGAATTAACAATGAAAAATATAAAAGTAGAACTAACCTCTTGTGTGATGTCGAGTTCGTGCTTGGTATTTTCATAAAGGGACTCGAGGTCACTGCACTTTTGTTCAAGACCCGACTTCTCCTCGAGCAATGCAAGACCATATTGGGCCGATTGTATTTTTTCCGTCGAAGCAAGATCCAATTCACGGTATAGCCTTTCAATTTCAGCCCGTAGATCGGCAACCATGGACCCTTCAGTGGCCATTATTATGATGTATTATTCCCTTGGAATCTCGTTTCCTCGATTGCCTTCATATACGTTACCGCACAAAAATTGAAGCACTAGCTACTGCAACCTCCAACTTAATGCACGAGGACATTATTTTCTAATTTTCCTAATCTATCCTCTTTTAAAAAAATACCATTCCGGCCTCATAATTCAATAAGGTTTTTGACAGAAGGCCAGATAACGGACCGCTGGCTAGTGGACGAATTGTCGCACGACGGCACGAACAACAATAGAAACAATGGAATTTGAAACGTGAACAGGAAACGGACATTTCTTATTCTCGTTCCTTTTCTCAAATTTTCCCGCCAAACTCCAATTATTGCAAAAACCGAATAATAATTTGTGACGCACTGACGCACTTTCTTCAGAGCGCGACATATTTTGTTTCATAAAAATTTTATTATTAATTTTAAAATTTGTTTTTGTGATAAAAGATTATTTATTTTGAGTAAATCGTTTTAAAAGAAAAAATTTTTGTAACTAAATTCAAATGAAATATACCTAAATTATAAATTAATATATTTAATTAGAAAAGTCATAATTTACAAAAAAGTACTTTTACTTTTTTTGATTCGCTTGAGATTTGAATTTGTATATTTGAAGTAAAATTCGAAAAATGAAATATTAAAAACGAATGAATGAAGTGTAAAAATTTGCATCTACAAAAAATACTCAGACATTGATTTTTTTATTGTTAAACTTTCCCTTCCGCGTAACATAAGTATAAATACATGGTGTATATAATTCTATTATACAATATTATGTCCGTATTTTAACCAAATATCTGTTTTTCCCTGCGTAGCAGAGAATTAAAAAAAATGAAATCAAAGGATTGAGGATATAAAAAAGGTTTTTTTTTCAAAGAACGAAAAAAAAACTCCGAAACTTACCTCTCCGTACGCTTTCTATTTCCAAAAATTCAGTTTAAAAACATAACTTTCCAATAATCCGCAATTACTTATTATTTTGTAGCTTACTTCATTCCTCTTCGTCATCTTCCATATTTTTAAGGTATATAGATTAGTTTTTTTTCTTATTTTCTTTCTTTAAATATAAATCGAGCCTTTAAAACCGGGAGTGCACCGGTCGAATTAGTTAATACACTGTAACAGTCGTAATTTTTAAAATATTCATAAGTAAAATTATGTAAGCAGAGACAAAAGCGCAGGCGCCCTAATCGCACTCGTTTTAAATAATCAAAAAATATTTTTTTTCTATTCTTTTCTCAAAATACCAATAGCAAATTTTCTTTTCTATTCTTTTCTAGAATTTGTATTCACAGTTGGTATTTTAGAAAAAAAGAGGTCTTATTATCGAGACAATTTTCTTTCCGAATCTAATCTTGACAAGTTTCTTTTTTCCAAATCTTATTTAAGAAAAATTGCGTATGAGATCAGATTAGATTTTTTTTTGTTTTTATTTTCGAAAAAGTGAGGTGTACTTAAAAATTTATTCGACTTTATTGCGCAGTAATAACGCAGGATGGACTCTTCATTCATCAGGAAATGTGAAAAAGGTTCTTTTCTCTCCTTTCCTGATTTCTGAATGTCAATACACGTTGTCGCTGCTGGTAAAATCAACTCGCAGATCCATAATAGAAGTTTATGGAATAGAACTCCGTTTTATACAATTAAAAGTGTTTATCATAAAAAATTCAATTTCACTGAATCACGTCTCTTCAACAAGAAACAAAATATTCATACACAACACTCGTTTACAAAAATGTTTTTAAAAAAAATGTGATTCAATTAAGCGTGGTTATTAAAGTGCAACTTCTTTTTTTCTCATCTCTAAAAGATTGTCGTTGCACGTAACAAGTGTTAATTAAATTCGTATATTATTCTTTATACGACATTAAGTTACACTAGACTCGCACAGAGTATCTTCCGATCACACACGTCTCTCGCTTATCAATAATGAAAAAATAGTTATCACCTAACCATGAATTTTTTTCTTTACAAAGAACTCTAATCTCATACTGCAAAATAGAAATCTATACAATTTCGTATTTTCACTTTTATTTTCTCTATTTTTTCCTTTTGTTTTTTGCACAGTGTGCGAAAAAAAACGCAGTTGAACATTTTTGTTTGGGGGGGAGATTGGAAAAGGGGACACCCTCTATTCATACTCGATGTACAGTCGATTACTTATAAACAAAATAATCGATATCGATCACCAGCAACGACCAGAGTATATCTAGCTTTTTTATAGTACAAAATATAGCTCCTTGCATACGCGCTTCCTGAATTCGAAACTTACAAACTTGAAAAATATGTTTGTGTATACATACATATAGATAGATGTATAATAAATTAGTAAAGGATTTTATTCACTCTAATTTTTTTCTTTTGTAAATAATGTAATGAGAAATTCTCTTCTTCTAGCAAGGTGACTATACATACAATATTTGTGTATTTGGTTGTTTAGGAGAAAAAACAAACTTCTTTTTTCAATTGACGTTATTTCAATTTATACTTTCATAAAAAAAAATGTTAAGCCGTACTAACATTGTTGAGCATTTAAAGAAATACTCATTACATTGATTTACAAATTCTGTGTATTTGCCAGTACTTTTTTTATCGAATGCATTCAGGGCCGTTAGGTTCACCTACTTTTCTTTTCATTTGACATCGTTCACCTGTTTTCAGTTTTTTTTAATTACTCTTGCATTAGTACTTAAACCCTTTTTATTTTATTGTATTTCCTTTTTTTGTAAATTAAATTTTAATGATACGGCCAGAGAGTTTAAGAGGAAGGAAACGGATACAAGATGCTTGGATATAATTAACAACTCAAACTTCCCTTTAAATATGTTATCCTAATTTTTTTTCTTTTGTTTAAACTTCATCTCTCTCTTCTTAACCACTATTTTCCCTAACGGAATTATCAAAATTAAAAATGATACCGAAAAAAGACAAATATCAATATCAAAATAAATCAATATTAATTTAAAAAGAAACTTAATTAAACAGTTTAATAATAATAATAATTTATTTCACAATTTTCTTCATTTAAAAAAAGATTTCAAAATTCAATTGACAATTTCAATTTTTCCTTGTCCAAAAAAATAAACCCATACATCTTGTATCAGATGACAAACAAGAAATCATCAGGGAAATCTTTTTTAATTCAATTATTTTTTTGTGCACGTTTACAGATTAAGCTTTTTTTTCCATAAAACGTTGTCATTTTCAAAAAAAAAATTTTTTGTAATTATACGTTGCAAGCACATAGTCCGATGGTGTAACAGCGATAAAAAAACGTAGATATTCGTAAGAAATAAATCATTGTAAAAGGAAAAAAAACAACGGTGGGTAAAGAGGAGAAGGGAGAAGGAGTGATACAGGATTTTTTTTGTTATTTTTGGGGCATGAAGAGAGATTGGGAATCCGAATGACTATGACGAAACGCGCGTCTTTTTTTAGCGATTATACGCATCCAACGAGACACATGTTCGCACATCCCTACCTAGCTACAATTCCCTGGTAGTGGTGCGCGCAACGGTAAACGGCTTTATCGTTAAGCGAGCGGCACGGATTCCATTTATCTCCTACTTCCTGTCATCCTGATCGCATTCACGGCTTATGTGACCAGGCTTGTTGCAAGCAAAGCATGTCTTGCCTCCTGCCTCTGGACAATTACGGGCAATGTGACCAGTCTTATTGCAATTGTAGCAATTTGGCGAGGAAAAACGTCCAGAATCATTGCCACCCTCTGGGCAGCTACGCGCTTTATGACCGGTTTTGTTGCAGATGTAACAACACATCTCAGGCCCCTATAGTAACATCACACATTATTTTTATTTTCTCTTCATTTTCTATATTTTACATTTTTACAATGTCATTCAATTTTATTTCACTAAAATCGATCGCATTTCAAATTTTTCCTATTTTAAGATTTTTCATTTTACAAGTTTAGATTTGTAAAATTACAGAAAGTGATAAAGAAGGTGATGTCAAAGTAGATGCAAATTTTTACATGGAAAAATAGAGAAGTGGAAAAATCGCATCTTCTTTAACGTCCCCTTAAAATGAAACATGAATTATACATTTCAGCATCAATAATCGTAAAAAATTCAAAACTGCAAAATTTCACGTGTTTCAAATATATTATTTTCATTTTCAAAAATTAAAAATTGTAACGCGTCTCGAAGAAAGGGACCTAAAGATACCGAAGAACTTTATAGGTTATGTTTGTTGACTTTCAACTGCAAATGCATAAAATGGGTTAACCTCTCAATTCGAAATAGTTATGTTTAAGACTTTATTACATTTAAAATAATCAATCAAAATTAATTTTTAATCAAAAATTAAAGAAGAATCCTTTATTCAAGGCAAAAAGATAAAGAACATAACCTATAAGATTTTGCTTCTTAGGATCCTTTCTTTGCAAAGCGTCACAAATGTTGATTTAATTAAATTTTTTTAAAATTTTTACCTGTTCACTACACGTGCTCAAAAACAGGAGCAACTCAATTTACTTGATTAAAATAAAATAGAATGACTAATAATAATAAATAATTATTATTAATAAAAAAAAATTATAGAAAAAGCAATAATAATACTTTTAAAAATACTTCTTTTATTTAGAATTTCATTATTGAAAGATTTAAAATAGTGATAATAATATGTTATTATTATTATTATTATTAAATTTCAAATCTTGAAATTATTTAGAACTTAATAAATTTTCTTTATATTAAAAATAGTATTTTTTGAAATTCATCAAAAAATTTATATTTGTTGCAAAAACAATAAAGTAAATCATCATTTATTACCAATTATTAAAAAATTGATAAATAATTTTACAATATTCATGTAAACTTTACACAACTTTAAATCTAAATTTGAAAATTATGCAAATTTACATGAATTGTGATTTACCTTTTTTTAATAATCATAATTAGTTAATTTAAAAAAATTAATATTTATAATATTACCTACTTAATTTTTTATTCTCGAATTTTGTAATTTCTCATTTTTTAAATTATTTTATTATACCTATAATTTCTTTATTTAATAATTCTATTGAATAATTTCTTTGTTCAATTATTCTTTTTTATAATTTATAATTACATAATTTCTTTGTTTACTCATTCTTTTGTATAATTTTTTTGTTTTAATTATTTTGCCATTAAGTTCGAAAAAATTGTTAAAATTTTGTAAACACATCAATTAACTAAATTAACAATTACGTTATATTCACTTTACTATTAAAGAAAGTCTTTTACGAAAAACTTGAGAAAAAAGCTAAGCATCAGAAGTGATATTAATTCAGTCTGTTATTCAAAGAAAATCAAAGTTAAAATCACAACTTTATTTTTATATTTTAGTAATTAAAAAGAAAAAGCTTTTAACTTTAAAAAAATTCAGCGTGATAACTTCATTTTTAAAAAATAAAACCAACTTTTTAATAGAAGATATGTAAAAACTGTCTGACAATGAAAAACATTTAATAAACGAATTTTTAATTTCTTCGAAGTTTGATAATTTTATTTCAATTATATTTTATGATAATCATCATTAAAAGAATTTTCTTAAAAAAATAGGTTTGATTTTTTCTCAAAAAAAAAAAAAAAAAAAAAAAAAAAATCGAGACAATTGTTTCTGAACTTACAAAGAATTAAATGTTATTGTAAAAAATGTAAAAATAAATAAATAAATGTAAGTATGGAATGCGAACCTGTTGACAGTCTTTTGCAATGTGTCCACTGCCGCTGCATCGATAACAAAGATCGTGATCTTCCTTGCAATCGCGAGCAAAGTGTCCAAATTGATTGCACTTATAGCACTTTTCACGACCTCTGCTGAATCCACCGTCACGATCATGGTTTCGGTCACCTCGACCTCCACCACCACCACCTCCCTGTGGGCACTCTCTGGCGAAGTGGCCCATGCGGTTGCATTTGTAACAAGCACTTGAACTCATTTTTTTATCTGAAAAATTACTTTATTTACAAAAACATTCAAGAGAAAAAATAATTATTTAATTTCTCATTTTAGAAAAAAATCGAAAAAGAATCATTTTTGCTCATGTAGATTGAATTCAAAATACAGGTTTTGTATCTAATTTTTGCATCAAGAATTTCTAACAGTATCGGAATCAGAGAAAGTAACATTTCACTCATTTAAAAATACGATATTAGAAATGTACACATTTTTACTTATAATATCTAATTTTGTATTCTTATAAAATAATTTATTTCCTGATAGTAAAAAATAAAAATAATAATCAGAGTAATTAATGATTTAAAAAAAAGGTTTTAAGTATGATTTTTTTTAATATGAAATTATATCCTTACATTTTTCAAAGCTAAAAATTCAAGAATTTAAATTAATGTTTAAAATCATGATTTTCCTTTTTTTCTCATTAAGAATATTCATTGTTTTATATTTAACTTTCACATTCTTTGTTTCTACAATTACCAATGAGATATTCTAGTATAATCATAACTTTTGATAAGAACGTTAGCAAGGTTTCGATTCTGACTTGTTTACTTCAATGTTCAGAAAAACAATCAATGAACTCTTCTTTGTTTAGATAAAAAATACAATTCTTAAAATACGCAAATTAAAACCATGTACAACAAAAATCCTTAAAATGGAGCAACTTTTTTGTCTTTCAAAATAGCACCTTTGCAACTTGTAGAAAAATATGAAAAAAATTGAAGAAATAAATAAATTAAAAATAATTCCAAAGAGGAAATGTTCTTTTTCGTGAAAAAAGGAGTGCTAACGAATTTCAAGTTACAATTTGAAAAGACAAACGGAATGAAAGGAAACATGGGAAATATAAGGAAAAAATGTAAATCGTTGAGGAAAAGTATTTTTTTTCATCTTACAATTCGATAAATATGTCTCAATATTGAAAAAAAAGATTGCATTGCCGGCGTCGCGATAGAGGGCTGCAAATCTCTCTATACTGAATAAAATGGCACCGTGCTTCATGTGTACTTGGTGACTTGAGGGGGGTATGGAGGGTACACGTGTAAAAGTCTAACTATTCAATAAATATAATACAAAAAGTAACGGAAAAGTTGCCCAATGGATGAAAAAAAATTGTCGAATTTTCAAGAATATGAGAAATAATGAATAATTGTATAAATCAGACAACGTGGCTGATCCCCACTGTATAGAAGCACGCACATACGCTACAATCCGAAGATGGCATCCACGAGTGACGCCGTACCACGCTTTTTTTCACATCAATTTACAAAGCAATCATTTCACATGTTACATTAAAATGAAATATTTTACAACGGCAAAAAAAAACCACACCTCTTAATTATAATATAATGTAAAAATTCAAAGTTCTTGCACGACAAAATTGAAACGTAGTACAGACCACGTGTAAAATTCTACCAACGTCCATATACCCACATAAAAAAGTAATAATTTGCAATTACAATAACAAAGAAATTAAGACTTACCTTTGTTTTTCAGATAGTGACTGATTAAATATCTCCTCTAACGTATCTAACTGACACCAATTGAGACAATGGAGCCGTGAAAATGAATGTGTTTTTCTTAAAAAAAACTTTAACCGATGCTTAACCGCACGGCTGTGGCGACCATTGACTGAAAGACAAGAGCAAAAGCCGGCCAATCCCCGCTTTCCTGCCCGCCAAAGTCATGAACGCCACCAATTTACCCCCACCAGCACTCCAACATCCGGAACAATAAATACTAATTTCCATTCCAAATTTCATATTAATCGGTAGAATCTTATCAGATAAATGATCAACAGTTAATGTCAAATTTTCCAATGAAAAGTAATTTACATCTTTCTCGTTTATTTGCAAAATGTATTGTAATTAGTTGCTGTTATGACTAGTTTGCGTGCAATCAGTGTAATGTCCATCAGGGATGGGAAAATAATCTTTAAAAAAATGTACACAAAGTTTTCAACCATGTTACCCAGTTTACCGTATTTTGGCCTTACGTACTTTTTCTAATATTTGCATTTTAGAATTAAATTAATTAACAAAAGAAATGCAGAATCACGTTTATAATTTTTACCTCCACGGACTAGTTATAAAACGAGATTCAAAACACCGCGTCAAGGTTTCTGATCTTATTGCGTTCAAGTTACGTAAATAAAGGCGCCATTATTACGGCGGGAATATTTGAAAGCTGATAAATTCAGCCAATCAAAAGTGTTATACAATTGGATGCATTTAATGCATTATATGAACAGAACTGAAAAATGAAATCATTAAATTCGATTGGATCTCCACCATCTCCACATAGAGATTTACAAATTTCTAAAACTTCTCTAATTGAAAATTCTCCATGAGCAAAAGATACAAGTATTATAAAATCGCCTTTATTACTATTATTATTATTATTATTATTATTTTTTTTTTTTTTGCTTAGGGAATTTTGGGAAATCTGCCTACAGATACCTTGGATTCCGCACTCCAAGGTTATGTGGGGTTGGTGTGATAAAACAAAAGGAAATATAAAAAAGAAAAATAAATATATAAAATAGTAAATTTAATAAACTGGCGACCTATTGCCAGCCCGACCCACTAAAACCCGTAACCCTTCTTCTGGAGCCCTTTACCCTCCCTCGAAACTGTCGTAGGACTTTAGCCTTCGAGGGTGGCGCTCCAACTCTGTCGCTAATGCGACCTTCTTCTTCTCTCTGCGGTTTTCCTGCATCCGTAGTTAAAAAAAGATTAAATCTATTTTATAGTCTAAGCGGAATTTACAGCACAACAATAAATAAAAAAAAAAAAATGTTTAATTAAGTGTACGAAGTCAAAAGATAAAATTGTAAACGCATATATAAAAAAAAGAAAAAAAACGCGTATAATATTGAAAACATAAGACTGTATAAAGACAAATACAAACATAAAACAAATTAAAAAAAATGTATAAGGACAAAGAAATCACAAAATAAATTAATAAAAACAAACAAACGAATTAAAAGCTGTTTAAATTACGCTTTTTGGCGGCCGTCGAGATCCTTCCTCGACATAACCGAGATTATAAAGTTCTCGACTTGCCGCCAATTGTCTTCTGACTGGGTCATCAGCGATACCATGTTCTCCGGTGTAACTTGACTGTTTACACCTTCAAACATGGCCCGCCTCTCCAAGTCCCATTTCTTGCATGAGAAGAGGGTGTGCTCCGCGTTGTCCTCAGGTTGAGTCCACAATAGGCACTTTTCTTAAAGCGATGCATACCCTCTACATCGATTTCTATTGTTCGAACAATGGAAATCGATGTAGAGGGTATGCATCGCTTTAAGAAAAGTGCCTATTGTGGACTCAACCTCAGGGAACTGGCAATATGCACACACCTCGTCCTCGCGTAATTTAAAGCGACACAGGTACGAGTTAAAACACCCGTGACCTGTGAGCGCCTGAGTCATATAATAGGAAACCATTATTATTATTAGTATAAATAAGAAGTTATCAATCCTCCAAGTCAATCATTATAATATATAATATCATTATATATTATAATTATATATTATAATATTTATAATATATTATTTAATAATTTATTTAATAATATTTATAATATTTATTTAATTATATATTATATATTATATATTATAATCATTATCATTATAATATATATATATATATATATATATATAATATATAGGGGAACATAGTCTAGGTCGGCCACCTTTTTGACTTTTGTTTATAACTTTTTTTTAAAAATGAATTTGGACAATTGAAGTACACTGAAAAAAATACATGAGACATTTTCAACTACATCCCCTTAGTAGAGTAAAAAGTAATAAAACGAACTACTTTTTTAGTTAGTCTGCACGGAGAAACTTTTTCTTATAATATTAAATATATTTGGTTATGTTTATTCTAAAAGTACGTTAGAATGTGAGGATTTTTCGTGCGTTGTGCTAATAATTTCATCATTAATACGAAAATATGATAAGTTCGTTATATATTAAGCAACCTTCGGTGTACAAAAATTACTATCTGCATTAGAAATAGTCTTATTTTTCTTTAGAAAAGAATAAAATGCTAGTTTTTGTTTGTGAAATAATAAGGTAATTCTAACCTTTTTTCCACATATAGATAGAATATATAACAGACATTCTAACGTAACATACCAATTTTGGAAGGACTGCGGGCGGACTTAACCGATTTCGCCCGAGCATCACCGAGTCCATCACCTGACGTCGCGAACTAACCCTAATGTTTTCGAAGTTGAAATTCACACGTGTATGAAAGAAAAAAACCTTTTATTAATAAACGTGAATGTCTCCTCATGCCAAAATAAATTCAAGAACTTTTCCTCAATATAACATAATTTTTTTCACGACTTTTACTTATTTACATAATTTGATTAGTAAGTTATTTTAAAAAATGCTCTCTCTCGAAGGCACATATTTTTCCACTCGTTCCTTTAGAAAAAAAGACATGAGCGAGAATCTCGAATTGAAGGAAATCGACTATCGAAAATCTCGAATTAACTTAAAGCATTAAAAATGTGAAACATAGAGAGGACACTTTCGTATGTAAATGAGACAGCTTAAGCGCAAATTAAAAATTAAAAATAAAGAAGATGGAGCAGATGAAGGCATTCACTTTATTGGTTGGCGCGAAAATTTAAAATTTTTTATTTTTTTTTGTTTAAATTAAAAACTTAAAAAATAAATTAAATTATATTATTTACAAAAGAAGTAATTAAAAAATAAATTTTTTTTTAATTCAGACTTCTTAACTGTCTTCAAAAAATTTAGCATGAAGCAATTGGAAATTTTATTTAAAAAAAAAACTTCTAATACAATTTATTGTAAGAATTAAATCTTTTCTGATCTCGATTTTTTTATAATTTTATAATTTTTTTATTAATAAAAAAAAAGTAAATTATTTTAAATATAGGATTGGTTGGAGTTAGAAAGGATTGAAGTAATTTTTTTTTTTAGAAAAAAAATTTGTCGTATTTAAATGTATATGAAAATTTTATTTTACAACAACATTTTTAAATTGGTTTACATTATTATTATTATAATTAAATAATTAATAAAGAAAAATAATTTATTATGAATAACATTAATATAACATTTTTTTTTAAATATTAAGTTCATAATAATACATACTTATTTCTTTGGAAAAAAAATTTATGTCATAATTTTAAAAATAAAAATATAGAACTGCCAGGAAATACATTACTTTTAGTTGTCACAGACAGAAGATTTTCGTACAATTTTTTTCATTTAACAGTTTTTTAAACTGAAATGTACAAACTCAAAATTCATTTCTTTTACAATAAAATCGACTAAGACAAAAAAATAATGTATTTAATTTTATGACATTTAACTGAAAAAATTTTAGGCAGAACTACTACATGCTTTCAAGGCCGAAATTAGAGCTCGTGTTTCAGGGCTCGCCTTAAAAAGGCGAGAATCTACTCTCCGAGAGTGAGCAGCAGCTCCTGAGTAGCAGATTCTCGCCTTTTAATTTTTTTAATATAAAGTTCATAAAAACAAATACATATTTGGTAATAAATATAACTTATAATAATATTTTTTATAGTCAAATCTTAATATTTAAATCTTTGGAAAATTGTATAATATCATTATGAAAATAAAGAAGCTCCCAGAAAATACATTAGTTTTCGGTTTTAGTCGATTTTTCTCTAAGTTTTTGAATTTAAAAGTTTTCTTCCAATTGAATGTATAAACTTATAAACGTAATATATTCAAAATCCATTTGTTTTTATTATTAATAAAGAGAAAAATCGATAGGGACACAAAACTAATTTATTTTCTGTGGGGTTCTTAATACTTATTTGCTTTATAATTAATTTATAAAAGTAGGGCAGTCTTTTTTACTTAAATGCCTATTTTATATCTATTCTCGCTCATGTTTTTTTTCTAAAAGATTATAATATTATAAATTGTATAAAAAAATAAGTTACATTTTTCTAAATAGTTCTGATTTTTTTTATATAAAAAAATTCTTTTAAATAAATAAAAATATTTATTACTATTTAAAAAATTAAAGTTATTAAATGAAAGAACAAAAATTTTTGTAATTATAAACGAGTATAAACGATATAAACGAGAGATTAAAAATGTTATTTCTCTTGAAAAGGAAAACAGACGATGAAGAAGCAGCACTTAACAGACTTATGGCTTCTTCGGCAATGGTGGGAACTCGCTTAACTTAGGAAACTTCTGAAAATAAAATTATTAAATGAATATACAAAAAAATCACAATATAATAAACATATAAATAGAAAAAAATCATTAAATGTATATATAGAAATAAACAGAAAATAATTAACAAAAATAAAACATAGTCAATCAATAAATAAAATTAAAAATAAATAAGTCAACAAAACTAAATAGAAATAAAAAATAAAAATAATATAACAAAAAAGAAATATAATAAATTAGAATTTTAAGAAAAAATTAAAATAACAATAAATTAAAAAAAATTGCAAATAAAATAACTTCATTACTAATATATAAAGTAATTAACAATAAAATAAATAAACATACTAACAAAAATAAATAAATAAATGTGCTAATAACAAAAAAAATAAATAAAATTAATTAATTATTAATGATATAAATATATAAGTTAACAATAAAACAAGTAATTAAAAAATAAAAATGTAACAAAAAAGAAATACAATAAATTAAATAAATTAAAATAATAATAAATAATATAAACAATTAAAATAACAATGAATTTAATAAAGAAGTAAAAAAACAACAAAAAATTAATTAAAATGAAAAGAAATTAGTTATTAATTATATAAATATATAAGTTAAAAATAAAACAAATAATTAAAAAATAAATAGAAATAAGAAATAAAGATGTAACAAAAAAGAAATACAATAAATTAAAATAAAAAGAAATACAATAAATTAAAATAATAATAAATAATATAAACAATTAAAATAACAATGAATTTAATAAAGAAGTAAAAAAACAACAAAAAATTAATTAAAATGAAAAGAAATTAGTTATTAATTATATAAATATATAAGTTAACAATAAAACAAATAATTAAAAAATAAATAGAAATAAGAAATAAAGATGTAACAAAAAAGAAATACAATAAATTAAAATAAAAAGAAATACAATAAATTAAAATAATAATAAATAATATAAACAATTAAAATAACAATGAATTTAATAAAGAAGTAAAAAAACAACAAAAAATTAATTAAAATGAAAAGAAATTAGTTATTAATTATATAAATATATAAGTTAACAGTAAAACAAATAATTAAAAAATAAATAGAAATAAGAAATAAAGATGTAACAAAAAAGAAATACAATAAATTAAAATAACAATGAATTTAATAATTAATAAAGAAGTAAAGAAACAACAAAAAACTAATTAAAATTAAAAGAAATTAATTATAATAAATAAAATGATATAATAATAATTAATATAAAATAATAAAAAAAAAAAATAAGTAAATAATATTAAATTCAAAAAAGTAGTATATAAATATAAATAAATAACAATCAATCAATCAATTTAAAAAATCAATCAAAATAAATAAAAATTAAAAAAATAATAATAAAAACACAAATAAAAAAATTTTATAATTTAAATAAAACTTACAGATTTCGGAGATGAATCGTTATGGATGTCAGAATCTGGATTGTTTTGATGCTCTCTCGGAGGAGTTTGTCGTTGAGTACTCTGCGAGTTTGAGGAATTACTCAATTCTTCAACTTTTAAGCAGAGAAAACCTTTTTTCATGTCTTTGGAAGTGGCAATTTCCTCGCCCGCGATTGTCATGTCGTCCACAGTAGACAGTTGTAGAATTAGGTTGTTAAGATTGCTCCGGAGTAAACCACGTGCTGTTACTTTTGATCCTTCTGGGATGTCATTTCTGGCAGTGTAACTTGATACATTTACAATTAGCTTATGCTTTAAATCGGTTATGCACCCACATCCATAGGAGTAGTTATTTAGAATAACATTCTCTACTTTAAGTTTTAGGAATGCTGTAATTGCTGAAAAACACCGATAAATAATACATTATTAAAAACATTCAAAATTAACTAAATAAATATTTTTTTCATGTAAATTTTTTTGGAAATCAATTGATTGTTTGTTGATTGATTATTGAAAAAAGTAATTAAAATTAAAAGAAATTAATTATAATAAATAAAATAATATAATAATTAAAAAAGGATAAAATAATAAAAATACATAATTTAGTAAATAATATTGAATACAAATAGCAAATAAATAAATACTTCCTCTATATGAGGAAGTAATATATAAATAAAAATCAATGAAATAAATAAACAATCAATCAAAATAAATAAAATGTACAGAAATAATAATAATAAACATAAATAGAAATAAAAAATAAAAATAATAATGTAACAAAAAATAAATACAATAAACTAAAATAATAAATATAAACAATTAAAATATCAATAAATTTAATAAGGTAAAGAAACAACAAAAAACTAATTAAAATACAAAGAAATTAATTCTAATAAATAAAATAATATATTAATTAAAAAAAATAAAATAATAAAAATAAGTAAATAATATTAAATTCAGAAAATTAAAAATTAATTCAATCAAATAAATAAACAAGTAAATTAATTAAACAATCAATAATATTAAATTCAGAAAATTAAAAATTAATCAATCAAATAACTAAACAAGTAAATTAATTAAACAATCAAAATAAATAAAAATAAATAATGTCACAAAAAAGAAATGCAATAAATTAAAATAATAAACATAAATAATTAATTAAAATATCATATCAATGAATTTAAAAAAGAAGTAAGGAAACAACCAAAGAACTAATCAAAATTAAAAGAAATTAATTATAAAATAATTAAAAAAAGTGTAAAATAATAAAAATAAATAAGTAAATAATATTAAATTCAAAAAAGAAATAAATAAATATAAATAAAAATCAATGAAATAAATAAACAATCAATTAAAAAAATTAATTGATATCATTGAAATATCAATTAATTTTTTTTGTGTAAAATATAATACGACAAATAATAATAATTTTTTGAATTCGATACTTACAAACGTTCTCACCAACGTATTTCCCTGCATCTTTCAATGCTATTTCTTTGAAGACGGTAATGTTCTCGGAGGGTGGAATGTGTTCCAAAATTTCGACGACGGAATTGTCCACTATTGATATTTCAACTGGTCCCAAATCATCCTTCTCGAAATAATACTGCATATTCACGCCCATCACTTTTCCTCTCGTGATTCGAACGATCTGAAACAAGATTAAAAAAAATATTTTATTTAAAACTTGAAGTAATTAATATATTATATAAATATAATATAAATTAAGCAGAATATTTTTTGTTTTGAAAAAGTGTTTTTATAGGTTAAAACAAATTTCTAATGAGCAATACTTTTTATAAAATAAAAAAATAGAAAAAACACTTTTTCAAAAGAAATATTAATTATATGTGACGCTCCACAAGAAAAGGGACCTTATGACAAGAGTAAATAAGGTCCCTTTTCTCGTGGAACGTCACATATATTATACTTACGTGGTTCACCAATTTGCCATCGAACTCCTGTATACGTTTTGGCCATATAAGGATTCTTCGCCTTCTGCCGCTTAGATTGTCCAATATATATTTATCTGGCCGATTCCTCGAAGTGGACGAGTTATTCTGATCGTTCCCTGATCGATCGTTCCCTGATCGATCGTTCCCTGATCGATTCGACATCGTTCCTCCTGTATTTTGCCGTGGCTTGGGCTCCTCCTTCATCACAATCAATCCTGTCAAGATTCTGTAAATTTTTGAAAAAAAATTTTAATGAAGGAAAAGAAAGTAGGATATCGGGTACAGTGACTGACACTAATTAAAAATCGCTATAAAATAAAACAAAACATTTTATTAATGTTAATTTTAATATATAAAATATAATATTTGGATGGAATCTTTTAAAGTAGTAGCATAATTTAATTTATTTTTCACATTTTACTTTCTATGAAGATAACCTCAAAAAGTGAATTTTAAGGTTATCCCCACAGAAATTAATATTAACATTATAGCATTTTTTTTTAATTTTAAAAAATAATACATTAACAAAGTTTTTTTCTTTTATATTTATTGTGATTTTTAATATGTGACAGAGAAATTAAAATTATTATCCGAAACCGAAAAAACATAAACGAAAATTAATACTGCTACTATTTTAATAGTAGCTTCCAAAAATTGCATTTTATAATATTATTAACTTTTTTTAAATTTTAACATATACATTAACAAAGTTTTCTTTTATATTTACTGTGATTTTTAATGTTTTCTGGTGAAAGGGACCTTACGATATACAAAATTATAGGTTATGTTTAGAAACTCTTAATTACCTTACTGAAATAAAAAATTATTTTAATTATTATTTTTATTTTAATATTTAAAATAGTTAATAAAAATTAATTATGTTTGCAGATAACCAAAGACTACTAAAATTAACCTACAACAATTTTTTCTCGTGCAGATCCCTTTCTTATTATTAAGTAATGATATTTAATGTAATATTTAAAATAATTTATATTAACGTTATTTATTATTATATATAAAACTTACATCGTTGTATCTCCATTCGTAAATGAATCGATTTCTTCGTTGCAGGTGATGTCGTGTTTTTCGATAAGTTTCTCCATATTCCTTTGTTCTTTCTCCACAGAGCAGCGTCCTTTGTTCTTTCTCCACAGAGCAGCGAGCACGTCCTTCCAGTTCAACGGTTTCGCAGTAAAAGAACGATCATCAAGCTTGAAAGTTTAGAACAATGGGACGCCGTTATATTATGGTGCCTTTACATGAAAAGAATAATTTACCTTAGGGTGCACTTACATGTAGAATAGTGGAGTTCGTTAGTCTTTAAGCGGTGTTTATATGCATGCGTTTAACTTTAAACAATAAGAGTAACAAGAATAAAGCAGTATCTAGATAGAGAAAAAAAGTGAAAAATGCGCGACGCAGACGCGAAAAAAATACGTGGCAATTTTTCGCGTTTGCGTCGCGCGTTTCTCACTTTTTTCTCTATGTAAATGTAGCTTAAGGGTGCGATCCCATGTGAGCAGAATACGTCGACCGAAAGCAGAAAATCATGAGTGCAAAAGAGATAGATAGATATTGTTCTTCTTTTCACTCTTATAATTTTCTGCTTCGGTCGACGTATTCTGCTCACATGTGATCGCACCCTAAAAGTATATGAAAACGCAAAAACGTTTACGTTAAAACGTAAGCATCTAGACATGGAGAAAGGCCTTTAGAGTGTCATATCAGGTTGTAGATTTTTTATCGAAAAAACTTGAGTTTCAATCTATTAAAAACGTTACAGTTTATGTCTATGTCTATACTCGCGCGCAAAGACGCACATTTTCTTTGTAATAAAAATATAATAATAAAAAAACCGCAAAGGACCAAATTGTCGAGGAGAAAAATATTTACAGCCTGAACATCTTCTTAATACGGTACGTAAGCATGCATCATTATAATTTAGTAATTATTAATAGTTTGAGATAATGCTTTATAATATAATTAACCTAAAATTTGCGAAGTGTAAAATCTAAGAATTTATTATTAATTAATAATAATAATATTATTAATTATAATTAATTAATTAATTATAATTATAATTATTATTATTAATTAATTTTATAGGCTTGAAGAAGTAAATTATTTTAGCAGGCAGAAGGAGATTTTTAACTGTAATGTCAAATATTATATTATTACATGTAAATTAAAAGATTTACACTTTTTTACAATTATATTAATTCATATTGGAATAAGAATATTATTATAGTATTAATTTGTCAGACATATAGTGATTTCAAAAGTTTTCCGAAATAAAATGTGATGTAATTGTAACTAAAAAAAATTATTAACAAACGTTTTGTTTAAGTGCATTTTTATTTATACGTCTTAAAAACGCAAATGTAAAATGAAAAGTTTTATATTTAAATTTAAAAATTGTAAAAAAACGTTTTGTTTATATACAAACATTTTCATTATTGACATAGCTATTATTATTATTTAATAAGAAAATATTTAAGTAATCTTATTTTTTAACTAATCTAATTTTATTAACTCTTTTACAGGTGATAATAAATCGCCAAGAAAGAAGAGTTCTACAGGAAAAAAGATTTCATAGATTTATCAGATTAATAGATTTACGAGATTAATAGATTTAACAGATTAACAGATTTATCAGATTAATAGATTTATCAGGTTAATAGATTTATCAGATTAATAGATTTAACAGAATTATAGATTTAATAGATTAATAGATTTATCAGACTAATAGATTTACCAGATTAATAGATTTATCAGATTAATAGATTTAAGAGATTAATTAACAGTATTAAAAAAACTAAAAATATATATAATTTATTAGATTTAAAAGATAAATAAACAGATTTTTAAGAGACCAAACAGATATTCAAAAGATAAAAACTATTTAAAGAGATAAAACAATAGAAAAGATTAATTTTTTAATTTAAAGAGATAAAACAGATTGTAAAGAAATAAAACATAAAACAGATTGGATAAAATTGATTTTTTAAAAAATTAAGTGTGTACAAATACAAAAAGTTGAAAATGAAAAGAATAGTTCCTGATCGGAAACGAAAATCACGAGAATGTAAAAATAGAATTGTACATGAGCTAGAATGTTCTATAGATAACACGATTAATAAGAAGAATAAAATAGAACATGTTATTCAAATAGGAAGTATCGATAAAAATGATATCACAAATGGCTATGAGCTTAACAGTAATCAATCGAATCATTTAGAGAAAAATTTGCTACAATTTAACGAGCATAATTATTGCAATAATATTGAATTAATTTCGGTAAATGATGATGAATCAAACCCTAATCAGGCAATTCACTTGCAAAAAAGTTCACTGCTTTTAAATGAGCATAATTATTGTAATAATGTAGAATTATTTTCTTCAACTGGACAATTAAACGTTAGTCAATCTACTCAGGTTCAAAATTTACTACACTTTAATGAGCATAATTATTGTAATAATGCAAGCTTACTTCCTTCCACAAGCACTACAACCACTGTGCATTCTGAGTCTAATAGAGATAATAATTTTTTAAACAATATTTCCGAACATTATCTTGGTGCTATGAATGTTTTATGCATTCATTGCAGTGCAAAGCATTTTAAAGCAGAAAAAGTATCTAACAAAGGAAATTCTTTTAATAATTGCTGTAGTCATGGAAAAGTAGTATTAGATTGTTTGCCAGAACCACCATCAATTTTAAAACAACTGTTTGATGGTAAACATTCTTTGTCAAAACACTTTTATGATCATATACGTTATTATAATAATGTATTCTCATTTGCATCTTTTAATGCTAACTTAGTACAGTTTAATAATAGAAGACCGGGACCATACTGTTTTAAAATTCAAGGTCAAATTTATTACCAAATCAATACATCGTTATATCCAGCTAATGATGAATTACCAAGATATGGCCAACTATTTATAGTTGATGCTAATGAGGCTACAAACTATCGTCTAAATATGAATTCAAATTTAAATGCAGAAATTCTTAATGCTCTTCATAATGTCATGGTACAAAATAACGTATTTGCACATTCTTATCAAATGATGAAAGATGAATTGGAATCAATGGTGTCAGAAAATGATGGCCAGGAACCTGAACTACAATTGCTATTTACACTAAAGAAAGGACAAGATAAAAGACGCTTTAATTTTCAAAAGGTTAATGAAGTTGCAGCAATTTTTTCAACCACAGCAGAAGGTGAAATACCAGAGTCTTATGTTACAATACGTAATAAAAATACAAAAAGCTTACAGTATGTGAGTTCTATGGATGCAAATGTAGAACCTTGGACTTATCCATTATTTTATCCCTATGGAAATAGAGGCTGGCATGATAGTATTGAAATGGTTGGAAATAAACGAAGAGTTACTAGAAATGCTTATATAAAGTACCGAATGGCTATTCGAAATAATACAAATTATATTTTGATGGGTCGGCGATTATTTCAGCAATGGACAGTAGATAATTATGTAAAAATTGAAAAGGATAGAATGACCTTTTTGCGAAATAATCAAAAACAATTGAGAGCTGACACATATGAAGGTCTCTTAAATCATTTAGAGCAAAGAGCAACAGATGCAAATTGCCGCGTAGGAAAAGTAGTTATTTTACCGTCTTCATATATTGGGTCACCACGTAACATGTTACAATCGTATCAAGATGCAATGACTATAGTGCGATCATTTGGAACTCCTGATTTATTCATCACAATGACATGCAATCCAAAATGGAGAGAAATAACTGAAAATTTGTTAGATGGACAAACTGCTTCAGATAGACCAGATTTAGTTGCTCGCGTTTTTGAACTAAAGAAAGAAGAATTAATATTCACTATTGTAAAAAAGAAGCTATTTGGAGAAGTGAAAGCTTATGTTTACGTAGTTGAATATCAAAAGCGTGGATTGCCTCATATACACTTACTCGTGACATTGAAATCAAATTACAAGATTTCAACACCTGAAATTGTTGATAAATATATAAGTGCTGAAATTCCTAACCCTAACGAAAATTTAGAATTACATGAAATTGTAAAAGCTAATATGATACATGGTCCTTGTGGAGATTGGTGTTTCGATAAAGATGGAAAATGTTCAAAGCATTTTCCTAAATCATTTACTGACCATACTACTATGGATGAAGATGGATATCCAAAATATAAGCGCAAAAATACTGGAACCTACGTCCGTCGAGATAATTCAGAATTCGACAGTCGGTATGTTGTACCTTACAATAAAGAGCTACTATTACTTTTTCGTAGTCATATTAATGTTGAATGCGTAAAGGGCGTTAAGTCTGTAAAATATCTTTTTAAATATATTTACAAAGGTCATGATGCTGCATCTGTAATAATTGGAGATTCAAATAATACTGAAAATGAAGAATCTTATATTTTGAACCATGATGAAATTAAGAATTACATTGAAACTCGTTATGTGAGTCCTCCAGAAGCATGTGGACGTATTCTTAGTAATGATTTACAAGGTAGAAGTCATTCAGTTTATCGATTACCTATACATTTACAGAATCAACAATCAGTTGTGATAGATAATATTGATGATCCAGAGGCTATTAGAAGCGCGCTAAGTCGTTCAACTGAACTAAGTGCTTATTTTACATTAAATCAAAATGACCCTTTGGCTAAAAATTTTTCATATTCTGAAATACCATCTCATTATGTATTCAAAAAAAAAAGAGGTACATCTACGTTCGTATGGGAAAAACGAAAGTCTCAGTTTAATGTATTAGGACGTATGTATTCCATTAGTCCAACACAAGTTGAACTATTTCACCTAAGGTTGTTATTGTTATCTGTAAAAGGAGCTACAAGTTTTGAAAATTTAAGAACAGTGAATGGAACTCTTCATGACAGTTTTGTTTCTACATGTTTATCATTAGGATTAATTGAAGATGACAGTGAATGGGAGAATGCTATGACTGAAGCTAAATTATGGATGATGCCCCAACAATTAAGACGGTTGTTCGTGAGACTTTTAATTCATTGTCATCCCATTTCACCAGAGAAATTATGGGAAAAATTTAAAGATGATTTATCTCAAGATTACAGTAGATCAATGCCGGAGAATATTGCACATAGAAAAGCATACATTCAGATAAATACTTTGCTTAATGAAGAAAATTATAGCTTAGCCTCTTTTCCATCAATGCCGCAAATTACAGAAACTGATGACAACATCGACAGTGAATGGGAGTCTGAACAACATCGAAATATTGGTACACAACAGTATCTAAAACTTAATGAAAAGCAAAAAGAAGTTGTTGATAGAATTTTAAATACAGTTGACGATCAAGATAGTAACAATGATCGATGTTTCTTTATCCACGGACCTGGTGGATCAGGGAAAACATTTATTTATACAACCTTATATCATATTTTAAAAAGTCAAGGAAGAAAAATGTGTACTATGGCATTTACTGGAATCGCGGCAACATTACTTCCATATGGTAAAACAGTTCATAAAACATTTAAATTACCAATTGCAATATATAGTGATTCCTCACAGACTATTAAAGCACAGTCCAAAGAGGCGGATTATTTAAGAAGTATTGAAGTATTTATTTGGGACGAAGCGCCGATGGCTCCAAGACACGTTTTAGAATTAGTTGATCGCAATTTGCGGGATATTACAAATGACAACAGACCTTTTGGAAATAAAATAATGATACTTGGGGGCGACTTTAAGCAATTATTGCCTGTCAAAATAAATGCTACTCGTAGTGAATTAGTTGATCTTTGCATTAAATTCAGTTCCATTTGGCCTGTATTTCATCAATTTTCTCTGACCGCTAATATGCGTACATTGCCTCACGAAGTTGAATTTGCTGAATTTTTATTGTCAGTTGGAAATGGAACTGATAACGATAATGATGACAATTTACATTTACCAGAAAGTTGCATAGCACCACGGAATACAGACATTGTAGAGGATATCTATGGGGAAGTAATTAGGCAAAAACAATTTGAAAAGTTATCGAAAATGGCAATATTATCAGCCAGAAATGTTGATGTTGATGATATTAACAAAGCTGTCGTTGAATTATTGAATCCTGAAACTGAAAAAATTTATACCAGCGTCAATAGCACTAAAAACTGTGATAATGGCGAAATGGGCGAGGCTCTTTTACCAGAATACTTAGAGACACTAAATCCTCCATGTTTACCTCCTCATGAATTACGATTACGAGAAAATTCTGTTATCATGTTAATTAGAAATCTGTCTATTAATGAAGGTTTATGTAATGGGACAAGATTACAAGTGTTAGAATTAGGAAATCATTTACTGAAGTGCAAAATATTAACTGGCGATAAAATGGGACAAATAGTGTTTATTAATAGAATAACTTTGTACAGTGACGATCGTTATCCTTTTCAGTTTAGTCGAAGACAATTCCCAATAAAATTAGCTTTTGCAATGACAATTAACAAATCACAAGGGCAAACGTTTGATAAGATTGGAATAGATTTGAGGCGAGATGTTTTCAATCATGGACAACTTTATGTTGCTATGTCGCGTGTACGATCTTGGGATTCTTTAAAAATATATTTAGGAAATCAACGAGAAAGTAATATTGTAAAAAATTATGTTTATAAAGAAATTTACACTTAGATTTTAACATTTTTTATATAATTTTTATTATTTTTAGACACTGTATTAATAAAAATTTGATATGTTCTTTCACTAGAAAATACAACTCAGGAGAGTGCAGACCCAAGATAGCGTGAAACAGAAAACATTTAGAAGAAAACGTAAAGCAAAGCAGAATTTCACGAGTACAAGAGAAAGCCATAATAGAAGTAACAAAGAAACACGCAAAAAAGCTTTAGAGTGCGATTCCATGTGAGCAAAATACGTCTACCGAAAGCAAAAAATCATGAATGCAAAAGAGTTAGGTAGACATTGTTGTTCTTTTCACTCTTAAAAAAAACTTGCACACTTTCAGATTTTTGGTGAGCGAGGTCCGTGAAAATTTACGTTACTAAATATGATTGGCTTTAATAAAAGTTCATTTCCACGCCGCTTTTAGTAGAGCCAATCAAATGTCGTGACGTGAATGAATTTTCACGATCGTGAAAATTCGGTGCTTGCCCAAAAATTTGGAAGTGTGCAAGCGCCTTTATGATTTTCTGCTTTCTGTCGGACGTATTCTGCTCACATGGGATCGCACCCTAAATGCTTCGTAAAACGCAAACATATGAACACAGCTGCAGTTAATAGAGGAAAAAATTTGTATACATAAAAATTAATAAATATTGAAAAATGAAATTGAAATATCAAAATTTAAATGTAAAAACGGAGTCAAAGAAGACGGCCACTTAATCTCATTTCTATAATAATTACTTAAATTTGTCATATTAAGATAACAAAAAGCATTGGAAATAGCATGCAGCATGTGAAACAGCACAGCAACGCGGACGGCCGCCTGCGGCCGTCAAGCGGCGCTAGTTAATATATAAGGACGATTCAGCTGTGTACTTCTAACGAATCGTGCGATCTTTCGGTTTCCGTGACCAATCGTCGTGTCTTTACTTGCGTGTGCGTGTGTGCGTTAATAATATAGGTTAGGTTCTTACGTCGTGTTAAATATATTTACCTACAGTTACAGTGACATACACTACTAATGCCATCTACCATCAGATCCAAGTATCACTATCGTCTCTATGAGTATCTATAGACAATTAATTTGTTGTGTTTCTTTTTAATTCATGGCTTTCCCAACTTTGCAAAAATTATTATTTTCTTTCTAAAACAACATACTAATTTTCGTTAGTTTCCTTATGAAGAACTGTAAAATATATACTGAATGAGTGTTTTTGATAGTCTCAATAGCAATTTCTATAACCTATGTCGTTTTTCCCTTGAATCTAACCTAACATACTAAAATGTCTCACCAGTTTTAAGAATTAGTGGTATTAAAAGTTTCTCCGTGTGGCTACTTTTGATACTTATTTTAACTGTTTTATGTACTTAAAAATTATTAATTAAATTAATGTAATTTTACAGTTAACTTTGTAACTGCAGGTATGTTATAGAAATGACTACAGAAAGTAGTAGATTCTACTACTTAAAGTAGTTCGATAGACTAATTTTGTAGTAGTTTTTACTTCTTCTAGGAGTTGAATTATTTTCCATGTAATTTATGTTATAGATTTTTATAGAAGATTATCAACTGTGAAAAGTTGTAAATGCAACTACTTTAAGTAGTAAAATTAACTACAGTTATCAGTTGAACTGTGTCTGGAATGCCTATAAGTATTAAGCAACTCATCGAAGCGGGCGAGCGTGGTTAGGTGGTTAGGTTATCGGTTTACGAATGTTAGGGTCGAGCGTTCAACTCCCGACGTTTAGAGATTTTTCTCCGTTAGGTATATAGACATTAAATAAATAAGGTATAGGTAAACAAAAGTGGGTAGGGGGAAATATAAAAAAATACAACTCGATAATATTTATAATAAATTATAAATAATTTTATTTTACCATTTTCAGTAGTTACTTTATTACTGAGTTATCTTAGTAACTTTAACTACATATCAGCAGTTAATTCTACTGCAAAACTGTCATTGGTTCCTATTTAACTAAGAAAAGTAGTTAATGCAACTGTATTATCACTTCATTCAACTACATATCTGATAATTAATGTAAGTTCAAAATTATCTTTGGGGACTTATTGAACTAAGGAAAGTAGTTAAAAAGTAGTCAAATCTACTAAGAATTTTTTTCAGTGTATATGGTTGGAAAGTCCTGTTTAATAGGAACATTTTTTCTGTACAAAGTAAATTGACAGGTTTAAAAATGAAAAAGTTATAAAGATTTAAAAAAAAAAAAATTTGTAGTCCAGGTTGGCCATTACAGTCAAGGTCGGCCATGTTTAAAATTCGAAGGGCATTAATCTTTAAAAAATAAAATAACATGTTTGGAGTTACGGAAAATTGATTCTTTATAGTTTACAGTTTGTAACTTAATGAAATAACAAAATAATAACAATAAACAATATAAAAAAATAAATATAAATAAACAAAAGTTTTGCACTAAAATATTAATAAAATTAAATAAAAATATTAATAAGATGATCAATTATATTATGAGTTATACAGAATTGCAGTTTTTGCAAATGAAGTAGCTCGTCCTCATCTTTGCGCATTTTAAACACATAGTGGCCGACCTTGACAGTAAGTAACATTACCGAATTGTTGTAACCATAAAGAAATACGTTTCGGGATTCGATTTTTTACTTTGTTTTCCTTTCAACCATGAGTCCCACAAATTTTCTGCATACTTGCCTTGACGATTCAATTTGTTTTTTATCTTTTATTAATGGTTTTTCACATTATGCACAAAACTTTTTTTGAGCTTTTTTTGTACCGACGTCACAGAAAACACAATTTTTGATTTTCCGAAAATGTAATTGAACAAAAAGTTAGGTTTCACTATGACAAGCTTCGACAAATATGCGCGTAGGTGGCGCTAGTGAACTTGACAAAAAAACGCGAGTGGCCTACCTAGACAGTAGACCAACCTTGACTACATTCCCCTATTATATTATTATTATTATTAATATATATATTAATTTTATTAATAATTAATTATAATTAATTATATTAATTATAATATATTAATTATTATAATTGATAGCTTCTTTCTTCTTAATATTTAACTGCCGAATGATAAATTCACTTTCTATTATTATTATTATTATTATTAACTGATTGTGTAAAATGTTCAATTTTCAATTGTCAATTAGAATGTGCATAAACGGGTAAAATAATTAATGTCTGATTTGATTTTTTCAGTATTGAAATCTTTGATCAAACATAAGTAAAATCTTTTCTTAATAAAAAATGTACAAATAATAATACTGAGTAAATATCAGTTAATAATTATCATATAATTACTAAAAAAATATAATTATATTTAACGAATTTTATGAATCTGGATTTTGAAAATGTGAAAAATAATATATTTCATTTTTAATCGTTGATGAGTGAACGTAATTAAATTACATAGGATTACAGTCATCAAGGAGAGTCCAGAATAGAGTCGAAGTCGGTATGAACGCGCTGATATACCGACTTCGACTCTATTCTGGACTCTCCTTTAAAGTTTAAATAAACATAACCTCAAAAATAACGCATACCGCGCGTCCGCGCATATGCAAAATTGAGAGGAAAATAAGGTAGTTCAAGTTGGGTGGGGGAAATCCAATATGGCTGACATCAGCTGATTTACCGGAGGACAAACATTGAATTCCCATTGAATTCAATGGGACAAATCAGTTTTTTAACCATAACTTTTTAAATATTCATTTTTGAACCATAGTGTAATGGAAAATTATTCTTTATTTATCGAAATCTATTTTTTAAAACAATAAAATTTAATTTTTTGGTTTTATTGTTTTAAAAAATAGATTTCGATAAATAAAGAATAATTTTCCATTACACTATGGTTCAAAAATGAATATTTAAAAAGTTATGGTTAAAAAACTGATTTGTCCCATTGAATTCAATGTATTGTTTGTCCTCCGGTAAATCAGCTGATGGCAGCCATATTGGATTTCCCCCACCCAACTTGAACTACCTTAAGGCGCTCTCACAGCTAGTAGGCAGCATACAAATTTGAATTTACTATCTCTTTCACTCTAATTGATTTTCTCTCTTACTCCAATTACTGCCTGCGCAGGCAGGCAGAGCTGTGAGAGCTCCATTATCCAGGAAAAGAAATCTTGAATGTTTTGAATAAATGTGGAAAAAACCATTTCTAAAAGTTTGAATTATCTTTATATTTCAAACTTTTAGAAATGGGTTTTTCCGTAATAATTGACATTTCGACTATTTAAAAAACGAATATAACATTTTAACTGTTATTGAAATTCGCTCTGTTCATCATTTTGAAGCCTATTAGCTACAAATTTTTGTTCTTTTTGTAAAACTATTTTAAACAAACTATTTGTTTTGGATCTTTTAATTTTATATTTCGTGAGATTAAAAAAAAAGACTTGTCGCAAAAGAGTAAAAAGATACAGGACCATAAAAGAATTATCAGACTGCGATGGCCTACTTGCCTTTTAAGGTTTGAGACTGTACGGCGCCTCTATATTTAGCATTCTTACTCGCGCCATAAATGCTTTCACACAATTTAAAGAAAAAAGTAGGTCAATTTCCAGAATTTTCAATTTTTTTTTCATCATAATTTGTCTCACTTGATTTTCTATCAAAATTAAAAATGAAATTCAAATACATATACATACCATAGGTGCAAAATAAATTTTACATTATAGAATATTCAATTAAAATTTATTATTTATTTTAATCTTTAATTTTTTAGTTTAATAATAAAGTTTAATTTAATTTAATTTAAATTTTAAAATTAGTTTACAAGCTTATGAGGATATATTACAGTACAGGAAAATTTACAAATGCGAGATCGATGCTGTGAAATATTATTGTTGAATTAAAATATGTTAACTTAATTCGGTGTCAATTAAATTATCAGGGAAATTAAGATCCAAATCAGGAACAAGGACCTCCATCGGTTCTTTAATAAAATTCTCCAAAGTGTCGCCGGAATGAAAACTTTCCCCATCACTACCACAGTCCTGTAATAAAAAAATTTTTAATTTTTAAAAGTAAAAAATAATAGAATAATAAAACAATTTATTATAATGATTATTTTTCCAAAAAGAAAAGTGGATAATGTCAAATTAAACGAAATAATTGCAATCATTGAAATTAAAAACATTATGAATGTTGTATTATTAATAAGATATTCATATTTTTTAATTAATAATTAATTTTTTTAAATATTAATAATTAACTGTCTCTTATTTAAAAAACAGTGTAGAAAAGTTTAGAATTTTCAAAAGATTAAAACAAAAAATTATTTAAAAAGTGAAAAAATGCACCGAAAGCTTACATTCAGAACAGAATTTGACGATTCAAAAATGTCGTAGGTGGTGGTATTCAAAGCAGCTAAGGTGCACGTATCTCCACAATTTCTGAAAAGTGTGGGATGATAATTCACCAGAGATTCGACACTTTTATCCAGTAGGCATAATCTTTCCTCTTCATTTTCTTTCTCCTTGCGAAGTAATTCTGTTAAACCCGATATGTACAGCATTGCTAATTTTAATGTTGTTATTTTGGTCAGTTTTTCATTTGTTCCATCGCCTTGCTGAAAAAAAACAAAAATACTATTTTTACTATTACTTTTTATTACCGGGAAGAAAATTAACTTGAATATATAATTTCCAAAAAGTTTATTTTCAAATTAAACTTTTTAATTTTTAATTACAAAAATCTCATATTTTACTTATTTTGTTTTTTTTTTTAATTATTGAATTGAATTGAAAAAAATATTGATAATTGAATTAAATGATTTATTTACTCAAATTAAATTCTAAAATTGATTTACTTGAATAGTATAAATGCAAAGGAAACACTATAGTTAATTAGAAATGAAAAACAAAAAACTCACCGCGAGTACTAATTCTGGCATATATGAAGGCACTGCTTTTCGAAGAGTTTCAAACGCCGAATTAATTTCCTTCATTCGCGATCTTTCTCGTGCATTTGCTGTTTTTCGTCTATATTTACTCAAAGGTGGTGGTCTATGTTTCACACTGAGTTTTCCACGATTAACAACAATTTTTCTCCCATAATTATCATTAATTGTGTGAAATTCTTCATTTTCAAAATCATCATCAAATTTAAATTTTCGCCGTACACTGCTACGTGGTCGTAAACTGTATTTTTCACTTGTCATTTGTTTTATTTCACTATTATTACCCATCTCTAAAATTTTAAATATTCACTAAAACTTTTTCATTGAGGATTTCTTTTAAATTTTATTTTTATTTATTTTTATCAAATTCACTGTTTTTTAGTTAAGATAATAATAATTTATTTAAAAAAAGGAAGTACTTGATAAATCTTTTACTCCTCTTTGCCTTCTGATTGATTAAATAGAGAAATTAGTGTGTAATTAAATTTAAAATAAAAAACGAATAATGTCATAATTTTAAAACTTGTGTCTATCCAATTGCAGGTTTGTCAAGGACTGGATACTCTCCAGTACAGCCTCCGCATGATAATCTCAAAGAAATTTCAGTGGGAGAACGAGTTCCCTTTTTGGTAAAGTTTGATCACACATATTTATATATTTAATTCAAACTTAAAAAATTTTCCCTTTTTAACAAAGATTCATTATTAAAAGAAAAAGTACAATTAATTAAAATAGAATGCAATTTTTATTATTAATGTACATATAATTCTTTTTAACAGTAATTTTTATATTATATAACATTTTTCAATTACTGTAGTAGGATTTTTTTTCAATTAAACATACATTTTTTTGGTATTACAATATATTTTTTCTATTAAAAATGTTGTGAATTTCATCAATCTCGAGAATAAAAAATTAACGTTAATATAAACATTTAATCTTAAAACTCGTAAAAAGTCATCTTTTCAAAGATTAAAAAACTTGATAATTAGGGTAAATCAGACAGTAGTCGGCCACTTAAGAAAATCTTCTTAATGAATACTGTTTAAAAATTGCAATTAAAGACAGTAGTCGGCCACCTAAAGCAAACTTTTTAATTAACACTCTTTAAAAAGTGCAATTTCATATTTTTTTTTAATTCTTTTAGGTGATATTGTTCCTTACGATCACACAAAACTATTAAATCAATCATGTTTATGAAAAAAAAAAAATTTCGTTCGTTAAAAAAATTAGTAAATGAACAAGTAAGAATACGACAGTAATCGGCCACTTAAAAAAGCCTTCAAAAAATTTTTTTTTCAATTACAAAAGCTTAGTTTTGTTTATAATGACCTTAGAAACGATTAGTAACAAACAAATTATTTTTATCTCATACGGTTTTATAGCTATTCAAAATTGAAAAGGGTCCGACTACTATCTGGTTTACCCTATCACTTTTTTATGGAAGATATAATTTTTTCTTGTCAATTATGTATTGATTATCATCACTAAAAAATAATTTGTAATTATTTTTTCTAATATTGAAAATTATTTTAATATGATATTAAAAATTGTTTTCATTTCCAAAAATGCACCACCTTTTGTATCCACGAGTAGACCACATATAAATATGCTATAAATATAAATTCTATCAAGTTTCACTTATATTTCAAAATTGACAACAAATTGACAAAATTTTAAAATTTGTTTTTTTTATCGTTGATTTATCCTTATACCACATTTATTTGTCAAGTTACAGAAAATGAGTTATATATTTTTTTAGAAAATTTACTAAAAACATTCCCTTACTTACAGATGTTATAAAATTCATTTAAGATTCATTCAAGCGGGAAACTTTTTGGTAAATTTTCACCGTAAATATGAACATTTATCGTATAGTAAATACAAAAAAGAATTTCCTACAAATTATCGTTCTTTGTAATCGTCAAAAATAAATTTTCCACATTCATAATTATTAATTTTTAAAATTAAAATATTTTTTAAATCGTGACACGGTACAGACCTATTTCTCTTTTAAAAAATTGACGTAAATCACGAAAATTCTAATAAAGTTTTGTATACTCTGCCAAGTAAAAAATATTTAAATGCATGCGCATTATCAAAAAGTCTTTTATTTTATGCTTAAGAAATAATATTAAATTGAAACATTATAACAAACTTGAAAGAATATTATTTAATAATAATTGTACCAATTTTCTCGCGAATATAAAAAGCATCATTACTTTATTATTAAGATTAATTAATTTTCATGTAATTAAATTTCATTTAAATTTATTATCATTATTCAATAAAATACTTCATATTAAATGATAAGTATAACATGCAAATGACGATATCGAGAAAAACTTTCTTTAGATTAAATTTTTTCTATAGAAAAAATTTAATCTAAAGAAAGTTTTTCTCGATATCGTCATTTGCATGTTATACTTATCATTTAATATGAAGTATTTATTTAATATTATTATACAATTTAATTTGTATTCATATATGAATACAAATTAAAAAACTAAACAACCAAAATTCGGTACTATTTTTATATTCACGAGGAATTCATTTGAAAATAATTATTCAATAAAACTAATCAACAAACACTATGAATACTTAATTGTTTCTAAAATATTTTCTTTTTATAAAGAAAAGTAAAAAATAAATCTCGTTCAATAAGAAATAAAGTATTAATACTTAAGTAGATTTAGAATTATTAAACTATGTTTTTAACAAAATAAAAGAGTTAAACTGGTTTTGATATTTAAAATGGCTTTTAAACGCGCTGATGCCATTGTCGTTCCATCGCCAATAGCCGAAATTGTTGGCGATGTATATAATTTATAACCAACAGCATAATTAACCGGGGCATTATCACTTTTTGCAAAACGATTTAAATTTAAATTCATTGGTTTTAAGTCCGCATTTAAAATTTTAGCAATTTGCTGAAGAATATTAAAATATTTTTCAACAAATGCAGAATTCTCCGTTCCTGTACACATTGATGACAGTAGGTTTATAATTTTTTTTCTGTTATTTGTACTAAATTGCTCACTTGTAAAAACACGATGGCAATTTTCGATATTTACGCTCTCGGCTAATAGTGGCGTTACGGTTAATTTTGTTAATTTTAAATACCTTTCAACAGCAAGATTATTTTCACCCTTGTATTCCGGTAAAATGTCCTCGATATTTATTTCTTCTATATTAAGTCCAAATTCACTTTCTTCTACTTTTTCTTCCTTGTATAAATTGAGTCGCTCTTGACAAAGCAGCCAAACTTTCTTAGCAGCCTCCAATTTAGCTATCTTTTTTGTTTTTCCATAACCGTTCTTTTCAATGTCTAGAATTTTACATTTCACTGTAAAATTCATCTGATGATGTGGTCCAGTCGCGTTTGTCTCCTCATATTTTGGCAATATCATTCCTTTTTTAGCGCATAATTCCTGCAGGAGAAATCTTCTATTATATATATATATATATATATATATATATATATATATATATATATATATATATTTATATATATTTATATCAAAGAAACATTTATAATTATATAAATTAAATTTTTCATATGGCAGTTTTTTAACCCCTTCACTGACACGGACCTCTATAGCGGCATCAAAAGGAAACATTTAAAAGTTAACGAATCTGTCTGAAAATGCCTACTCGAGGGTTTTCGGGGCCATTGAATCCAAATCCGTGGTAAAAAATTCAAAATTCAAAATTCAAAATGGCAACCAAACAAATTTTAAAGTTAACTTTAAAATTTTTTTTGGTCGACATTTTGAAGCCGCCATTTTAAACTTTCGACCACGGATTTGGTTTCAGTGACCCAAAAACATACAATATGACAATGTCATGCTTTTAAAAAAATTTTTTTTTTGAACATTTATGGCACAAAAACTTTATTCTCACTAGTCTGTAAAGAGGTTAAGTACAAAATTTTTCCATAATTTATTATTTAAACAGGGTTGCCACAGGTCAGGGATTTTTATTTGGAAGAAATTAAATTTTTAGAATTCATAAGAAAATTATGAATTTTTCTGTTTTTTTCGTCTGCCTTATAAACTATGAAATTAACAAGAATTCTAATACAAAACCTTTAATTTTTTCTATTTCTGACAATATTTTATTTTTAAATAACTTAAATCTTAAAGAACTATCATAAAATTATTACATATAAATTATTTAATAAGTAATTTTACTTAAATATTTCAAAAGTAATTGAATTTCAAAAGAGTTGCGTTTACAATTTATTATTGAATTCCTCGAAAGCATTAAATTATTTTCAAAAGTTATAAAATTCTTTGAAAAAATTCAATTTTAAACTCTTAATAAATTTTCTTGCTGTAATTTTAATTACGTATTTTTAAAAAGATTAACTTTTCCTCGAAACAATTGAACTTGTATTTTTACAATTTTCACTCTTTTTATTATTTTCATTTATTATTTTTATAAATAATAAAATTTTCACAGGAATTCAATCATTAACAAATTGTTTATTATTTTTTTTTTTCGTAATATTTCAATTATTTTCATAAAGAATAAAATTTTTTACAGGGATTCAATTATTTTCAAAATTATTAATAAAAAATTTTAAAAGGATTTAATTATTTTCAAGAAAAGTAAAATTTTTTACAGGGTTTGAATTATTTTCATAATAATAATAATAATAAAATTCTTTTAAGGAATTCAATTATTTTCATAAATAATAAAACTAATGACAGAATTTTAATTATTTTTAATAATACAACATTTTTATTCAAATTCCTCGAAAAATGTAATTATTTAAAAAAATGTTATTAAAATGCGTCGAAGGGTCAAACCATTTTATTTCGCCTAATATATTTTTGACCTTTATAAGAAATTGCAATACTTTGGGAAAATATTTTTATCTGTTTTGGGATAACGAAATGCATGATGATTTGTAAAAAAGAATTACATTTTGTATAAAAAAGATGTTTTAAATTGAGAGTATAATACATGAAAAAAGGTTACGTTGACAGACATTACAAAATATTAAAAAAAGGAGTAATCTCTTTAAGAAATATAAAAAAAGCGATTGATATTTATTTTTAAAGGCTGAATTTGTGATTTGAACTTGATAAAAGTATCAAATAATTTATAATAAACTGTAAAATATGTTATTTAAGTTCCTGTATGAAATGTCAAAAATCGATCATATTTAACAATTTTTTTTTTGACAAAGCAATTTAATTTTAGTAAATCAGAATTATTTTAAATACACTTTAATATTATTTAAATACTTTTTTATTATTAACTGAGAAATATAAAAAAATTTACCTTAAAAATTAACCATTCTTCATTTTATCGCGATTCTGAATGTTTGTAATTTCGTTGGAGAAAAACCGACTTATACCAAATTTTTTGGAGAATGTAAAAGTAGATTGAAGCAATATCTTCCTGCTACCAAAATTTCGCTTTGGGTTTTGCACTAGTCTTCAAAAGAAATTGATTAAAAAAATTGTTTATTTTCAAGGTTACCTGCAAGTATTATAACACTTTTTTTAATTAATTTCTTTTGAGGACTAGTGCAAAACCCAACGCGAAATTTTGGTAGCAGGAAGATATTGCTTCAATCTACTTCTACATTCTCCAAAAATTTGGTGTAAGTCGGATTTTCTCCAACGAAGTTACAAACATTCAAAATCGCGATAAAATGAAGAATGGTTAATTTTTAAGGTAAATTTTTTTATATTTCTGAGTTAATAATAAAAAAAGTATTTAAATAATATTAAAGTGTATTTAAAATACTTATTATTTAAATAATTCTGAGTTACTAAAATTAAATTACTTTCTCAAAAAAAAGTTGTTAAATATGATCGACTTTTGACATTTCATACAGGAACTTAAATAACATATTTTACAGTTTATTATAAATTATTTGATACTTTTATCAAGTTCAAATCACAAATTCAGCCTTTAAAAATAAATATCAATCGCTTTTTTTATATTTCTTAAAGAGATTACTCCTTTTTTAAATATTTTGTAATGTCTGTCAATATAACCTTTTTTCATGTACTCTCAATTTATAACATCTTTTTTTATATGAAATGTAATTATTTTTTACAAATCATTGTACATTTCGTAATCCCAAAACATGTAAGAACATTTTTCCAAAGTATTAAAATTTTTTATAAAGGTCAAAAATACATTAGGCGAAATAAAATGGTTTGACCCCGAAATAATTCAATTATTTAAAAATTTGTTCATAAAATTCTTTATGAGAATTCAATTTTAAGAAACATTCAATTATTTAATACATTATTTGTTTTTGTATTTAAATAATTGAATTCTAGTAGAATTTTCTAATAAAAATTGATTAAAAAAGGAAATTCATTTAAAATTTTAGATAATAATATTAAAAGCATTATAATGGACGTCCGCATGAAAAGGGGCCACTTTCGCATATTATTGGACTTATCTATATGATCAAATTCCTTGTTAAATCTGAAAAATTTTGATAGGTACGTCTTAAGTCTAATTTGGTGCAAAAATCGCTGAGTTATAGAATTTTAAACTTCAGAATGTCAAAAACCCCATTTCGAGAAAATCGAAATCAAAGATTGTAATCCCAGTAAGAAACGAAAAATTGAAAAGTATTAAAAAGATTCTATTCTTTTGAATGCCATTTCTGTCCAATACTTTTCTATCCAGTGAGAGCAATATAAATAGTAACGATATCAATCCTCTTGAATACCCAGTAAGAAAGCAAAGATTAAGAAGCATTAAAAAAATTCTATCCTTTTGAATACCATTTCTGCCCTATGCTTCTGAATTCCGCGACAGTAGTATAATAATATAATACTAATATTGTTGACATATAGAATGTTCAATTACTTTCAAATAACTGCACTCATGAATTTATTTGCTATTTTAAAAAGAAATAATTATTAAATTATCAGTTAAGAGGGTTAAAAGTGTTTAAAGGTCTTTGAATTTTTTGGTTATGATTTATTGTCTAACAGAATAACGGCCCTGACTCGTTTAAATTACGTTAAATTGGCAAACAATCAATTTTTCAGCAAGTTCTTCTTTGAACACAAACACTTTTTACAAAATCTGCCACTGTATGTATCTTATAAATTACAAAAATCCAGAAGATTGCTTGAATGCTTGCAGAAACGCGGTTCCAATGAAAAATTGAAAAGTGATATAATGACAGGCTGTAATAATTTCGGATGGGATTGGAAAGCATTCAGAAAAAAATTTTGTCTTTGTTAAAAATTACAAAAAGAATTGAATGGCATTCATTTTTAGACAAAACGTGGTCCTATCATGGTATAGAAAAGTATTGGACAGAAATGGCATTCAAAAGTATTGGATAATTTCTACTACACCATACAGAGTTTGAATTATTTCAATCCTTTTCAATTTTTCTTTTCTTACTGGGATGCGAATATCATTAATTGCTTCTTCTAGGAAGTTATTCAGACAAGATTTGTTTAAAGTCTAGTACACCTTTAAGATGAAAAATTAATAGGTTTCGAATTCCCTCCCTCCATTTTGAAACAATGAAAAAATAACGGACATCCAACAAAGTAGTCCCTTTTCATTTTTTTTGTCTAACAACGAAATAAAATACTTAAAGTATCGATAAATTAATGAAAAATGCATGATTCGACGTGTGAGACCCTGTAGATTAAGGAAAAAGAATAAAAAAAATTCGATGTTTTTTCAAAATTAGTAAATTGCAATTATCTCGGAATATCATGAATTTTTAAGAAGTAATTGAATTTCGAAAAGGTTTCAAATTAAAATCTTTTATAAATTTTTCATACTTTTAACTAACAAATTCTGTAGAATTAATTTTTTTTAATTATTTACAGTTTTTATTTTCTAATGTATATTTAATTGAAGAATTTCCGAATAATCGAAATTTCTGTAAAACTGAATTGTAAACAAATAGATTTGAAAATCCTCAAAGAACTTTGTCAAAAATTATTAAAAAACAATTGATTTACATTTTTTGAGTATCTAATAATTTTTAGAGTGAATCATAATATTACTTTAGGGTCAGGGAAAAACAGAATTAAATTTTTGTGGCAATCCTGTTAAATAAATTGTACCTACATAAAATTCACACAAAAAAATAATAAAAATTGTAGAGAAATTTAATTTTACCCATTGTTTATTTTTGTAAATATTAAAATAAAATATGTGAGGAATTTTGTTTTTCGAAAAGTAATAAACATACTTGCAATAATCCGATGTAATTAATTTCTTGCTGTCCTGACTGTTGTAAAGAATTATTATTTACAATATTTAGTGAATTCGGTAATGACTGTATCGGATTTGTCCGATTTGTGGAAGGTATAGTACCAAGAAGTCTAAGCATTTCTTGAGCTGCTTCATGTTTGGCCTTTTGTTTTGTAGAACCTCTTCCGTCGGCAGACAAAGATTTATATTTTACTCTAATTGTAAATACGTGTTCATTGCCTGAAATCACTTGATCTCCAATGAATATATAATTAGGAAGCTCATACGGCAGTTTGGCAGCATATTCCTGTAATATTGCTATTGACGTTTTAGCCATTTTCTCTGTAAATAGAAAATTACACATAAGCTAAAAGACAAATTATTAAAATTATAATTATTTAATTTTATAGCAAGTATTTTAGTTACATAGAGATTAGAGAATATTCTTGTATTCACTTAATTGAAATTGCCTCTTTGCCAGCATAAAATAAATATAAATTCTTAAACCCAAAAATATTGCTATTTTAACATTTTGTTTTTAATTCCATTCTAGTTATTCACATTCTGACAACGGATGATGCAATATTACAATAAAAAAATCACAAAACAAATTTTTTCTGTTTTTTTACTTACTCAGACAGATATTTGTAATGAATATTAAATTTATGGGTTTTTTTTAATTTTGTTCGAAGGTTAGTTTTTTGTTTTTTGTCATGTACAGATTTTCAATTATTTTTACAGCTTATGTCACGTGTTACGAGCCGCGTTACCTTTAATAACGTAACTCTAATAGTTCGCGATGATTCGCCGGATTCTACCTTGATTAAATCCTTAAAGAAGGAAGCGGGAATATTTAAATTAAAAGACGTTTAATTCCGTTTAACGGAAGGAGGAAAGCCCACTCGAGAAATTAGTTTTTCTTGAGTGAGTAAAACCCCCTTTGTTTATTAAAATATTTGTTAAATACAAACTGGCTAAGGAGTTTAGAAAACAACCTTTCAAGTCAGAGAGTAACTTAGAACTAACTATAACTATTCATTCCGCGGAGAGGTTCTCCGCTAAAGTCCATTTTTGTGGAAATGCGCATGCGTTATTCTACGCGCATTTCCTTGGCTGTAGCATACAGGATCGTTGCACCAACACTTTTCTGCACTACATTGAAACTATACTCACACACACACATTCAAGAGAGATCATCTCTATACTCATGCAATATACTCTGCATTCAAATAATATAATATTATTAATCATCTATAAAATGTTATGTACTATTTACTTAAATTGAATATTTCATACGACACTCACACAATATAGTAATTACATTAATAATGTACATATAGATGAAATGTATTTAATTACATAAACGTCAACGTAGTTTTAGATTATCCAAATAATACATTCGCACTAAATGATTATTCGAAATAATAATAATAATAATTATTATTATTATCATTATTATTATATTAATAATTCTATTTGTACTATTTATTATTAAATATTTTAGATCCTTATTCAACTAGACTTTTGTGACTCATCTCTTTTACTTAGTCCATTGCAATCCTGCGGTCCCAAGCATGTTGAACACATGTTCTATTGTCCTATGGAAAAGGGCACTTGAGATGTTTTATTTTTTGTATAACTCTTGACGGTTTGGTTTTATGACTTTAAGAAATTCGAGATTACTTTTTCCAACTTTAACTTGATTTACGACATTTCTAAGAAATGTCTTCGTAGTTAATATAAAAACTAAAAGTTTGGAATTTATTAAACCGTGACAATATTCTATTGACAAACATACAAAAGATTTCCTGTTTGTGTCTCAGAGATTTCTGCCTCAAACCGTGGGAAGAATATTTAAAAATTATAAATTAATTGATAATTAATAATTCAATTCTAGCGCGTTTATTTCGATAGTTGATATATCGAAATTATTCGAGCGAGATAATAGTCGCTCGTTACACCTTTCCCCTTAAAAGAGATTTTCGTTAGAAAATTATTTTCCATCAAAATTAATATTAAAATTATATTCTTATAAAATTAACTAAAAAAAATATTTAATTTAAAAAAATTTTTTTTTGTTTTGTTTTTGTTTTTTTTTTTTTAATTCTATGTTTCAATGCGCGCGCATGAGTGGACAAATTTACAAGTGCAATTGTCCTGTGTATTGTGCTTAAGTTCACTGGGTCTTGTATATAGGTTATGTTTATGAATGTGAACAAGTGTCAACAAAGTCGAAAGTGGCAATTGTTGGTGAAATGGATTCTTATTTTAAAGAATGTTTAAAATGTGTTTAAGACAGTTTTTACAAAAGGAGAATAACTGTTTTTGAGCAAATCTAACAGTTGCTCACCTCTCACTCCCTCCCAAAATGGATAATTGATAAATTGAAATGTTATTCTATAACAACAAAATATAATGCTTTGAAAAAAACATTTTAATGTTGAATAGAAGTTTATCAAAGAGAGAGAAAAAAAAATCATAATTAATTGTCTGCAAAGCTAATAGTTATTTTATAGTCATTCTTGCCAAAAATTTGTTATTTTCGAATCTCTAATTCGATTTTAGGTCAAGAAATTTGATTGAGACTATTTTCGACTCGAGAAATAGTGACTGAGTCTGACTATTGCTTTTCACTATGTTAGACAGAAAGCACATTATTGTGTTTTATTTGAAAGAATATTGTCTACAAAAAAGTAAGGAAATTGTTTATTATTTATAAACCGTTGTATTGTAATTTCCCTAATCTTCAATAATTCAATCTTTCTTTTCAGATTCAGATTTAATCACCAATTCAAGATCACTCAAACTATTCGAAATTGACAACATTCGTTTTCAATTTCTATAGGGATTTCACTGTTCCAATTACCACAAGATACGATCGTTATTTTGCTCGCAGCAATATATGCTGCCTCTTCTTTGACCCATGGATGAATTTCATCACATGCAGCCCTAGCATAGCCGGCACCCACGACACTATGCTCATGGTCTGACGAGAGATAGTTTCTGCGTTCAGAACCAAAATTTGCAATTGGAAAGACTTGATAGTTAAGTCTGATTTGCAGTGAAAATTGTATCATTAATATTTCCCTTATTTAGATCATCGTCATTACATATAAAATTTTGTTTCTTTTCAGACTCATTAAAGCAATTATCCCAGTGAACATTGAGAAAAACAGCTTTTATTCATGAATTATTTCATAGATTGTCATTGGAATCGTTAGGAAACACAGGTGTCTTGCACCTCGTGTAATGATTTTGAATCAATTTTAATAGGATTAAATTCGTCATTTTTAATGTTCTGTCATATTTTAACCCCTGCTGAGTTTCCCCAACTATGTCACATGGATCTCGCGATAATGCGTCTGCTTTAGTGTTTATTACACTCTTTTTATATGCAATGTCGTGATCATATTCTCAAGCGATACTGCAATTTCTTGCACCTCGTGCAATTTAATTAATCTTGAATTGTGACCATCAAAATCTTTCAGCTGAGAAAAGAATAAAAGTAATTCATTTTCCGTTAAAATAAATATAAGAATCAAGAATTACATAGACCGATTTAGAGTTTTTCAAGTTCTTCAATTCTTTTTAAGTAGCATTTGTCGGTAGAATGGCCCTTTCTCTCGCAATACTCACACTCCTCTTTACTGCTTTTATTATTATTGTTTTTAACGTTATTTTTATCATTACTTTGTTCTTTCTTATTTAAAAAATTGTTGCATTTATCATCTTTATTACTATGAGTAGAACCTGCGCGGTGCCAGCAATTGCGAGAAATATGGCCCTTTTTACCACAAACATAACAACCATGATTGTTGGACGATTGTTTTTGTTCATCTTTTTCGATGTTTGAAACCGTTTTCTGTTTTTTAGAGGGTGGTTCTTCATTTGTCGTAGATGAATCAGCTTCCTCTAATTTTCTATTTGTTAATAATGATACAAGATTTTCTGCTTGAAGAGCAAATCCTATCGCTTGTTTTAAGTTTGAGGGACATTTCGTATTTACGCGATGTTCTAGTTCGGGAAGAAGTCCACGACAAAATGCTTTTGTTACATGCTGATTATATTCAAGTGTTTTAGATGCCGATTCATTGGAAGGCAATTCTTTTCTTGAATACTCATTTAATTGAAAAAGGAATTTTCTAGCTTTCGCCGCGTAGGAGTGAATTGTTTCTTTTGGTTGTTGAGTGAGGGAAGCAACCTGTAAAAATATCGTAGAAAAATCGTACGAAAAGGAGTATGCTTCCTGTAGTTCTTTGAACAATTGGTCTAAAGATTGTATTTGAGCATGGGAGATAAAATCTGCCGCTTTTCCCTTAATTTTTCTCAAAATATATTTTAAAAGCAAATAGTGATTTTCTGGGTCAGTGTTGTCTGATGCGTCGCGACATTCTTGCAAAAACTTTTCAATTGAGATATTTTCACCGTCAAATTCAGGGATTAAATCAATTGAATGTTTGAGAGCAATAGTTCTATTTGATTTTACTGAAGGTGTGATATGAATTTCATTTTTACTTGAACTCGAAAATGCTCTAGGTTCGCTATTTACTACAGAACGCGACATCATTCCTGCAATTGATTTTAAATCACTTTCCCTGAGTTGAGACATTAACCTCTGAGACTGTCTTAATTCTGTTAAGAAGTTTTGAAAATTTTGTGTTTTTGTATCATACTGAACAATATCTTCATACTCTAGATCATCATGCAAATATTCTTCACACATTACATTATCGTCGTTTGGTTCAGGATTTCCTTGATAATCATTCATTTTAATTGATTTTTTTTTTATTTATAAAAAATATTTAATCGTTTAATTAAAATTTATGATATTTTGAATTTAACATACAATTTGTCAATATTTCAACAAAGAAGAAAAATAATTTTAAAAAATTTGATCAAGGAATATCCTTTTACCAATTAATAACAATTGTTGACAATATGTTTTGAATATAAAGAATTTTTCTTTGTAGCAATAATAATTAATTAATTTTAATTTAGAAAACAGTTAATAATTTTCCAAAATACAATAATAAAGTAAAAAATAATAAATTTATTATATACTTTCTTTTGAAAATTTTAATTTGAAAATTTAAAGTAATTTTGCTTTAAAGAAAAAAAATTTTTATTCAAGGTTTACTTATTAATTATTCTATTCAAACCTTTAAGATGAACAATATTTCACTAAAAATTCACTTTTTATAAAAACGAAAATGACCATTATTTTCCTCTTAGAGGATTCACACCCGCACTGACACTTTCACTAATTGATGTATTTCAGCAATTAATAGTCAGCAATCAGGAACATCAGTCAGCCGTCAGGAACATCAGTCAGCCATCAGGAAGTAGTCATCAGAAAATCAGGATCACTTTTTTTTCAAATTTATTTTAAAAATAGTTTTATACTATTAAAGTTTCTTTAATATTGTTTTTCCGATTATTTTAGTCACTATTTATGAATTTTACACTGAAAAGTGTCACTTTATATGTCCAAGTACACTGGATTTTAAAAAATTCGAAAAAATGTTTTTGTAATAAAAATATTTTTTAAATTCCCGTATCAAGGACCGTTCGAGCCCCCAATTTGTTACGAGCCGCGTTACCTTTAATAACGTAACTCTAATAGTTCGCGATGATTCGCCGGATTCTACCTTGATTAAATCCTTAAAGAAGGAAGCGGGAATATTTAAATTAAAAGACGTTTAATTCCGTTTAACGGAAGGAGGAAAGCCCACTCGAGAAATTAGTTTTTCTTGAGTGAGTAAAACCCCCTTTATTGTTTATTAAAATATTTGTTAAATACAAACTGGCTAAGGAGTTTAGAAAACAACCTTTCAAGTCAGAGAGTAACTTAGAACTAACTATAACTATTCATTCCGCGGAGAGGTTCTCCGCTAAAGTCCATTTTTGTGGAAATGCGCATGCGTTATTCTACGCGCATTTCCTTGGCTGTAGCATACAGGATCGTTGCACCAACACTTTTCTGCACTACATTGAAACTATACTCACACACACACATTCAAGAGAGATCATCTCTATACTCATGCAATATACTCTGCATTCAAATAATATAATATTATTAATCATCTATAAAATGTTATGTACTATTTACTTAAATTGAATATTTCATACGACACTCACACAATATAGTAATTACATTAATAATGTACATATAGATGAAATGTATTTAATTACATAAACGTCAACGTAGTTTTAGATTATCCAAATAATACATTCGCACTAAATGATTATTCGAAATAATAATAATAATAATTATTATTATTATCATTATTATTATATTAATAATTCTATTTGTACTATTTATTATTAAATATTTTAGATCCTTATTCAACTAGACTTTTGTGACTCATCTCTTTTACTTAGTCCATTGCAATCCTGCGGTCCCAAGCATGTTGAACACATGTTCTATTGTCCTATGGAAAAGGGCACTTGAGATGTTTTATTTTTTGTATAACTCTTGACGGTTTGGTTTTATGACTTTAAGAAATTCGAGATTACTTTTTCCAACTTTAACTTGATTTACGACATTTCTAAGAAATGTCTTCGTAGTTAATATAAAAACTAAAAGTTTGGAATTTATTAAACCGTGACAATATTCTATTGACAAACATACAAAAGATTTCCTGTTTGTGTCTCAGAGATTTCTGCCTCAAACCGTGGGAAGAATATTTAAAAATTATAAATTAATTGATAATTAATAATTCAATTCTAGCGCGTTTATTTCGATAGTTGATATATCGAAATTATTCGAGCGAGATAATAGTCGCTCGTTACACACGTCCCAACTTCGATAATAGGGATTTTTGATTATTAAAAATGATGGGGATTTTATGCTGCTAGAACACTAAAGTGTACCCTGTAAATAGGAGGGAGATTCAACTTCTACTTCAAATGATAACAACAGAAATACTTTTAACTTGTCACTTTAATGAACATTGAGGGAAAAAGGTTACAAATTTGAGCCGAAGGATTACAACATGTAATCGGTCTGAGTGCTCGGAGATATCTGTCGAGATGAGATCCTGTGGTCCATGGGTCCCCATAGGACCCTGCGCGCGTTGAGTAGAGGGGATGACTACCCCTTCCTTTGAACTTCCCTGTGACCAATACAACCCTGACGGAGTGTTATTTTACAAGTTATTTACACATTCATACTATTTATTCATTATTTAAATTTAACATTAACAATATATGAAGTTAATTAATATTTGTTTCGTTAATTATCAAATATATAATAATCGGTTTCAGTTAAATTCATTCGGAGTATTATAATTACATTTTGCTTCTGTATATTTAATTACCATAGAATTATGGTAACTTTGAATTACTAATAAGATATTACAATAAACGTAGATAATTTGTTATTATTTATTATTATTATTATTATTGTTATTTAATTAATCAATAAATTAATTAATAAATTCTGTACATGTGGTTATAACTTTTATCATTAATTAAGAGTATCTAATTATTTAACTAGTAATGAAATGATAAACAGTAATCAATTTATAATCGTTGTTTTATAAAATTGTTAATGACATACATAGAATTAAAGATATGAAATTCATATCAAATTTGAATATTGTAATTAAATAGAAAACTCATTTCTTTTTCTTATATACGAACGATGAGTCATAGGTTTTTCCTGACGGTACAATACCCTTTTTTTTTATACCGGGGACTCGAGTAAGGCCCGAGTCCCACGGTCCCTTTTTTTATTGCTACCACATGTTTGGGTTTTCCCAACGGTTTCGAAGTTCGGAAAGATGTATTTCTCAAAAGGCTATTTTTTTATAGAAATAAACTCTATTTCTTTTCAATTCTAATTTTTTTGTGTCCTACGTGACATTTGCCTCATTTTCGCAGACTATTTCAACATCTGTAATTTTAACTATTATTCCTTTTCAAAAAGCAGCACATGTTTGGTTGCCATTCTATTTCGTTCTTTAGATTTTTTGCATGTGATAAAATTCTTTACGGGAATAAGCAAATAAATGCATGTGTTTTTATTTTACATTAAAATTCAATTATTATATTGATATTAATTTTGAATCTTAGCGCTATTACCTAGTTTCTTCCGTACGAAGAGTTACGTAGTGTTTTTCCCTAGCGGAGAATTACGTGAATTTAGGCCTGCCGTCACACAGTGTTATACATGCTCTATACATGATTTTTACTATCAAATTCGGGGAATACCAACAAGATAGCAATAATGTCAATATATCCGAAATATATATAACAGGATAAAAATTTCAATACATTGTAAGTATAGGACTAAAATTTTGTTAATATTATTGTTTCTCTATTCACTTTAAAATTTTATTTATATATATTATAAAAGAACAACACGATTTCTTGTCGATTCTAACCTAACTTCTTATGTTTCGACGTTTCGACGCATGCGTTTGTTTCAAGGTCATTTTTCATGACTGAAAATTTGAAAATGATTACATTTTTGGTTAAAATATTTTAGAATATTATTAACAATGTATTAGAATGGAATTACTTCCTTTTATGTTATATTAATCATCATATTTCTATAAATCCTTCTTTAACTTCTCTATAGGATTTTGGGTTTGGGGATTTAAAATTGCAATGCGACACATAGTGACCATAAAGTGAACTAAAAAAAATGGCTGCTGTAGGTGTACAAGGTTGAAAAAAATGTTAATATTTAAAGTATTCTAATGTTTAAGAAATATTTGTTAAGATTGTTGTTCATTATTTATCTTTTTATTGAAAAACTACTTAAAATTAAAACCGAAAAGTCACAATTTAAGTTTATATTTTTTTAAATTTGTACACCCATTTCGTCCATTTTTGGTGTAAAACACTAGCGACACCGAGCCCGCGGTGGTAAAATTTTCTCGTCATGTTGGTTGAAGTGTAAGAAATTAAAAAATTAGAAAGTTTTTAAATTTTAGATTAGCATAGGTATTCTTTCCTCTTTTAATCATTCCAAAGAATAGAAAAAATTTACATATAATTGTTTCATAGATGCTTTATTCTACACTTTATAAATCATAAAGCCAAAATTTCAAAAGTGAATTTCCGTTAAAACGAAGGGAAAAACCTCACGAATAAGAAGGATCAATTAATAATATTAATTAATCATTAATCTATAACTGAATTCGCGAGTAAACCCAATACATTTATTATAAGTTAAAACATTACACAAGTAGAAGTTATTCTAAAGGCTATTTTTGGGACTACTCTGAAGTATATTACGAAAGAACTCCAAAATAGAACTACTGAATTCGTGAGGGAGCATTTAGCCCATGATCCAAGTAACAAGGTCTCGCCACGCGCAGGCAAAAAAAACGTGGAACCAAGCACCAATCAGAATGCGGACGAAGTGACGACCATATTGAAAGTCTAGCCGCGTATTTTTAAATGTGTTTCAAATCCAGAAAATAAGATTGTTATTGTTATTAATATATTTTTATTTTTAATAATAAATATTATTAATTGTTATTATTAATATTAATACGTATAAAATTATTGATAATAATAATAATAAATATTACAATAAATGGTAATTAATATTAATAAATTATTATGAATGTTATTTTATTTTTAATAATAATTATTATTTTTAATTAGTATTAATATTAATAAATATAAAGTTATTAATAATAATAATAAATATTGCAATAAATAGTAATTTGATTTTCAAGATTCCAAGCAACATTCACTGGATAAATTAGATATAAAGGTATTATTGTGTCTGGTACGTACACGAACGCACATAAGATTGCGAATTTTGAATAGGAAAGTATATGAGAAAAATTCTAAAAGGAAAGCTAAAAAACGTGTAAAAAAATTCGCTAATACTAAATAGCGTGAATTTTTTTTGAAACTGATGTAGTGAAATTATACAGAAAAAATAAAGAAGAAACATGCAATTTATT